ATTGGAGACTTGATTCTTGAACCTTTAGAAATCCTTACCAATGTTCTCTATGTTCCCAAGCATTTCACTAATCTTATTTATGTAAAAGGCCTTGTTTGAAACACACCTTATCATACCCTTTTTGATAAAAATCTTTGTGTTATCCTTGATAAGGTCGAAACCTAGAGGATTGTAATTACTAGAGATCGAGGAGTGTACATCTTGGAGGGATTTAACCAAATCTATCTTGTGGAAGCAATTCATCTCAAGAACATGACAAGGATCTAAGTCACATTCAGCTCCTACATCAACTATTAGGCTATCATTCCTTTATTACTATGAAGAGTTTTTGTCTCTTGTTTCAAAAAGTATTTTTAAAATTACTTAATTGTGACATATATGAATTGTCCAAATATGTATGTGTTTCCTTTCCAATTAAAAATGGAAGTAGTGAGATCTTTTCTCTTGCATCCATAGTGATTTTTTGGGACCATATCCCAATGTAGATATACTAAGTAATAAATGGTTTGTGATCTTTGTGGATGACTACACCTGTTGCATGTGGGTCATTCTTCTTAAGCTGAAATTAGAAGTTTCAATTGCATTGAAATATTTGTGTAATGAATAAAATCCAATTTGATAATCTTATAAAGAAATTCAAGTTAAATTCTTTTCTTTAGGTTGAGGGTATCATACATGAGTCTTCATGTGTTTACTCTCAACAAATGGATTGAAAGAAATAAAAAATCAACACCTTTTAAAGGTTACACAATCACTCTTGTTTCAGACAAGTGCAATAACAACACATCTAATAAATCGTCTTCTGACTAGAACCTTGTATTTTCAAAGTCATATGGAGAAGTTAGCTTCTTATTTCCCTCTTAATCATCTTCATATCTTATTAGAGCCTCACATATTCAGATGTGTCTCATTCATTCATAATCATAACCTAGCTAAAGGTAAATTAGATCTAAGATCTCTCAAATATATGTATGTTATATATAACTCACAAAGTGTATTGTTGTTATCATTCATCAACTCAAAAATTCTTTATAACTATAGATGTCACCTTTCATGAATCTATTTTTTATTTCAAGAAACCTCTTAAGATGCCTTTACCTAATTTTTTAAAGGTAAATTAGATCTAAGATCCCTCAAATGTATGTTTGTTAGATATTTAACAACTCAAAAAGGGTATCACTACTAACATCCACCAACTCAAAAATTCTCTACAAGTATGGATGTTATCTTTCATGAATCTATTTTTTATTTGTAAAGAACCTCTCAAGACACCTTTATCTAATTTTTCTACAGGAGTTTCTTCTCCTCCAAGTCAAATTATTCTAAATTTTTTTTGTCTCTACCTAAAGTTCATCTCTTCCTAATCCACTTCTTGAAAAACTCAAATTTGGTTAGATTTATTCTAAGTCACGAGTCCGTCTAAATTCTAGATCAGCCCAAGACTCTAAACTGGCCTTAATCAACGAGCAATAGATCATATTTATTCTTGTAGCACATACTACTAGTCTCCAAACTATTTCCTTTAGGATTCCTCTAGGGGTTTATACAAAACACCCATTATACCCTTCAATGAACTTTATTTTATATTATAAACTTTCTCCATCTTATAGAACCTTCATTGTTACCTTAGATAATATTACCACTTTAGTTAATATTTCAGAAGCTCTTTCTAAGAAAGAGTGAAAACAAGCCATGGATGATGAGATTCACGCCTCTTGAGAGAAATAAACATGGGAGCTTATACCTCTCCCTATGGATAAACATGTAGTTGATTGTAAATGAATTTATTTTATAAAATACAATGCTTATGTATTAGTTGAAAGGTACAAGTTTAGACTCATAGCTAAAGGATATACACAAGTTTATGGAATTGACTATGATGAAACTTTTCTCTTATGGTACATGGTCACAATTATTTTTTCATTGACTACTATTTTTAGTTAGAATCCAACAATATGATGTGAAGTATATATGTATTAACCACTACTTTATGGGGAAAGTTATCATCTAACATTATTTACATATTAAGAAAGTCGTTGGATAGACTAAAATAGTCTCCACAAGCATGGTTTGAGAGATTTTCTACTATCATGTAAAAAATTGGTTATTGTCTTAGTAATGCTAATTACACATTATTTTTTAAATGTACTCTACATGGTGAGTTACTATACTCTTAATTTATGTTGACAACGTTATAATTACTAGAAGTGATGACATTGAATAATAAAACTTGAGTAAATATCTTGTCAAGGAATTTGATATCAAGACTTTGAGTTGTCTTAAATATTTTCTAGTCATTGAGATAACTCATTCTTTTAAGGGCATATTCATCTCCAACAAAAGTATGTGGTAGATCTTCTAAAACATACTAGAAAGTTTGAAAGCAAACCAGCTAGTACCTCCTTTGATCTTAACCACAAACTTAGTGTTAGTGAAAGGGGAGGAGTCTATTGATCAAGAAATATATCAACGTCTTATTAGATGATTAATATATCTCACACACAATAGCTTTGACATCTCTTATGCAATTAGTCTATTAAGTCAATTCATGCCTCAACCAATTGATCTCATCTTCATGCTGCATATCAAGTGTTAAACTACTTAAATGAAACTCCTAGAAAAGGCATTCTCTTCAAACATGGTGGTAACCTAACAATTGAGATATATATTGATGCTAACTACAATTGTTTCTCTTTTAGATTGTCATCAACTTCAAGTCTGATGATACTTAGGGAGGAAATTTGGTTACTTGGGGCAGCATGGAGCAAAATGTTGTTGCTCACTCAAGTGTAGGAGCAGAATTTATGACACTTGTGCATAGAATATGTGAACTAGTTTGGGTTAAGATTTTACTTACTAACCTAAAGATTCCCCTTTTAGATCCTATGAAGCTTTGTTGTGGCAATAAATCAATAATCAATCTTGTGCACAATTTTATTCAACATTATCACACAAAGCATGTGGAGATAGACAAACATTTTATTAGGAAAAACTTATAGTCTAAAGAAATATGTATTCTCTACATCTCCACTTAACATCAACTAGCTGATTTATTGACAAAAGGTGCCTTTAGGTCTCAACTACAACAAGTTATCTCTAAGTTGAGAATGAATGATATCCACTCATCAACTAGAAAGAAAGCATTGAAATATAATGTAAATATTACATTAGTAGTTGAGATGAGGTGTCATGTGCATCACTTGAAGAGGCATGTGAATATTATCTATTTGTCTTGGGACATAAGGCTCTATATCTAGAACCTTCTTCCATAGATCTATTATAAATAATAAACCCTTGTCTCAATGTAAGTTAATCTTGAAGTTATTCTTTTTCCCTCATATGTCGTTCTTCAAGAAACGAAGAAACTAGAGGAAATTCAACAAATTTTCTTATATTGAAAATAATATTTTAAACTTCAATTATCTAACCCAAAAACTCTTCATTGTATGTGTCCATTGAAGTTTGATAAACCTATTTTTACAAAAATCTCTAGGATGTTCATCTTCAAATCTATTCCTTATGTTTTCTAAAACAAAGAACAAACATTCGTTAAAGCTTGTAAATTTTCATTTGAAGGTTGTTTCTGAGGAGTAAATCTTGGGTCAATTTTTCTTCTGAATGTTATTATTAGATAGGGAGTTTTTGATTACAAAAACTTTAGATAATATTTCTTCCAATAACTCATTCATATCTTAGACTTTATGATTTAACCTTTCTTCAAAAGTAAGAAATTCTGCCATAGATAGTGGATATATCTTGAGAATTGCCTCCTCATTAGAGTTGACGCCTTTTCCACTTGCATCCTTGAAATGAACTTATTTAGAGTCATAAACTCTGGCTCTAATACCACTTGATGCAGTAAGAATCATCAATGAAAGAGATTTGACAACTATATATAGGAAAGTAGAACACCCTAAATCATTAGACCAGGAAAACTCTAATCCAGAAAAGACAGATTCGCTGATGAAAGAGCTTGAACATTGAAACACAACATATATTAGAAATTTCAACCCTTAAGTCAATAAGGGTGCTCTCTTGAGTCCACAAAAAAATATCTGCCTATGTCCACAATCAAAGAATGTCCAAAAAAAAAGGAACATACAATTTTTGCGTATTTATTGGCTAAAATGAAAGGGTAGCAGTGCCTAGGCTTTCCCCCACTTAGATAATATGTTTTGGGCCACTTTGGCTCAGGCCAATTCCTGTTGAATTAGATTGATTTAAGTAAAATCACTGAGATCAATTCGGATCCATTATGTAAAGCTTCTAATCGGTACAAATCTTCTTTACTGGGCTAGGGCCTTCTTTAAAAATGAAAGCTCCTCACAAATGGGCTGTCTTCCAATTCTGCAATTGTTGGGGCTTCTTTTGGATGTCCTGCATCATATATCTTTCTCACTATATCTGCATCTATCAATCTTCGAACTATTATGAATTTTTTGATGTATGTATGTATGTATGTATCTATCTATCTATATAGGGATTTGAGGGTGCAGCTTCAGCCTTGTATTGTAATTGATGTGCACATTATTTTTCCTTCTTAATGAAGAAGAAATTTCATTTTCATGATGCGGCAAGAATCTATGACCTTCCTAGTTCAGTTACCTTTCCCATTTAATTTATATGACTTAAATCAAAATATATCTAAACAGACTATGGAAGGGGATAAGTTGATGTCGAATGAACCATCAAGGGAGAGCGAAGGCACGTATTGCAATGATCCCAAAATCTAACCCTCTTAGATCTCAAAAATTGATACCAAGATGATAAGGAAATGCATCACTATAACAAAGCACTAGATGGGCTCCTGTGCAATGTCTGGAAATATGGGATTAGTGAAGGCATGGTACATGGGAAGAGACTCATCAATTCAGACATGGGAGGTTTTGTACACCAAAGGGAAGGCACATTTTACAATGATCCCAATGTCTAGTCCTCCCAGATCTCAAAATATATCAAAAGATGATGATGATGATCAAACACATCACCATAACAAAGCGCTAGATGGGTTCCTGTGTAATCTCTGGAAAGATGGGATCAATGGAGGCATGAAACATGTCGTCAGCGGCCCAAAGCTTAGCCAGATGGAAGGGGGAGCAGGTGAGACGGTGGACCTCCTCACAGACCCAGATGAAGGACTCGGCCTTGGCCGGGTGGACGACTGAGTCCAGCCGCTGGTGCTCCTTCTCAGCCCCGACCCTCTGCTGGTCCCACTGCTTCAAGAGGAGATTCGTCAGATAGTGCAAGGGCTGCCCATGGAGCTGTTTCATAGACCTCCCCAGCCCTTGCCAGGACATGAAGGGGATCACCGACCCCCGATGATGGGGGATCGCAAGGAGCCTCATGAATTCTTGGTACATCTCGGCCCTCCTGATCAGTCCATCCGGGTCAGTGCCTGCGTTGCGATCGATGTGGGGGACATTTCATCAGAAATATAGGGCAAAGACTAACTGGCAAGAACTTTAGGAGAAACAGCAAAATTAAGTAAAATTATGGAGGAAATTCAGAAACCCATGATAGTTAATCATGTTCAAGAACAAGACTTTGCAGTTTTATTCTGGGCTAAAAAAGAAGCCTTCTCCCCTTAAAAAGAGAAAATGTTGATTCTAGGATCTTCCCAGTGACAAAGTCAACGTGGGCATCCATCTTTTTTTTTTTTTCTAATGATGGATCCCCAAATTTTTAACGGCATAGTTACAAAAGGGCACACCGTAATGACCTGCATTATGACAGCAGACATGCATTTGTCAGAAATCTAGGGTTACAGAGAGAGAGAGAGAGAGAGAGAGAGAGAGAGAGAGAGAGAGAGAGGGGTTCTACCGTCAGACCTTGTACAGGACACCCAATGTGCCCATATTCTAAATGACTCACTAATGCACAATGCAAGTAAGCCTACGATATTTGAAAAGGCTCTCTGACGGGAAAAAGCAATGGAAACGACTGCACAGTCAAGGATAGTATGTATCAGCCCATTGCTGTAAATGGAAAGGCGGCTACACAATATTAAGGAACAATCGAATGGTCTAACCTTCTGAGCTAGTACATTTGACCACGCCAAGATCATCTCTATTGTTCGGCTTCTTGCCCGACTGTGGCTTACTGTTCTTTGAATCTGAGCTGGATGAATCCGAAGAAATTGTCTGCGCATCATCCCACGTCCCTGCTCTCTTCATCGCAGGATCTACACTAGAAATTTGAATGAAATCTGGCTGCAAAGTTCATAGTAAGATCCGATTCATAACAGCCACAAGAAGGTTCATCATCTTTTCTTGACTTGATTTGTGATTCACATTGTCTTGCCAGTGGATATCAAAATATTCTCTCTAGTAGACTGACTTCCGTTTTTTATAGCATTTTAGGAAGATCTTGAACATACTTTGATTTTCATAAGATATGAAAAAAAAATGTATATATTCTTTTTCATATGCCAGTATCAGCTCATCAATCCAAGAAATGGTCCTACAGTTGACGTCTTGATTGTTAATCAAAGAGCAAATTTACCATACAAAACAAGTTCTAGTGGCTCAGAGTCTAATAGGCAGATATCATTAGTAGACAAAAGAAAACCCGTTTGAAGATTTAAGCTGGTGCTTCCTCTCTAGTTTCACATGGTAACCAAGTAGGATTTATCTGGTCTGCGAACAGTATAATGATCTACATTCACTGGTCTAGTAGCAGAATCAGCTGCTGTAAATCCATGAAGAGAAAAATTAGTTCGTAGAGGATCATATTTGCGAGGTAGATGGGGAGCTTGAAGAAACCTCCATGTAAAGTAATGGCGAAAGGACATAGATCACTGAGCGCCTTTCTACCGTCAGAACTTGAGAATGAGAACCTGCCATTTTCGGCAATGAGGTTTGACTCACCTCCGATGGCCTGCCGTTGGGGCTGATTGGTCTGCCGGTTGGCAGGAACCTGACTGCTGGAATCAAGATATAAGGGTTCCAGATTGGACCGCGACGGGGAGTGGATGCAGGTTGCGATGTCCGGCGATTAGAGCTTCTTCAAACAGGGTGGGAAGGAAAGGAGCGGAACCCCACCGGAGGGGTTGGGGGGGGGGGTGGACGTATAGGTCGCCGCCGAAGAGAAAAAGGATCGTCGGAAGTTGAAGCAGCCCCCGCAGGAGATCTTCAAAACGAACTTCCCGAACGCATCAAGGAGCAGATCTCTCCCCACTCGATCGTCTCCCTCATAGCGCAGCATAAGAGCATTGGATTGTCTCGGAGTCTAGAAGATGGCGGCAGTGGAGCTTTGAAGTGGCTCGGAACGAATACGTCAGGCTCTGTGCGATTCCGAGATGATGAAGTAGGGAGTGCTGGATGGCGGTGATCGCAGAAAAACCACCCCTTGTAGCTTTCAACTCCTGGATTTTGGGTTCATTTCTTACGAAGCCCGGAACTCTCCCTCTCTCTCCCCCTCTCTGTATTTCTCCCTCTCAGTGTTTATCTCTCGTTCTGTCCCCCCCCGCCTCTCTCTCTCTCTCTGTTTCTCTCCCTCTATCTCTCTCTATCTCTGTTTCTCCCTCCCTGTCTCTCTTTCCTCACTCTCTGTTTCTGTCCCTCTCTCTCTCTCTCTCTCTGTTTTCTCCCTCCTCTCTCTCTTTCCCCCCTCTGATTCTCTCCGTCCCCCTCTGTTCTCCTCTCTCTCTCTCTCAGTATTTTTCCTCCCGCTGTTTTTCTGTCTCTGTCTCTCTCTATCTCTTTTTCTCCCGTCGTCTCTCTCTCTCTCTCTCTGTTTCTCCCTCCCTCTTTCGGATTCTCCCCGTCCCTCTCTGTCTCTCTGTTTCTCTCTCTCTCTCTCGTTTTTTTCCTTCCCTCTGTTTTTCTGTTTCTCCTGTCGTCTCTCTCTCTCTCTGTTTCTCCCTCCCTCTTTCGGATTCTCCCTGTCCCTCTGTCTCTCTGTTTCTCTCTCTCTCTAGTTTTTTTCCCTCCCTCTGTTTTTCTGTCTCTCTCTCTCTATCTATATCTGTTTCTCCCTCCCTCTCTCTCTATCTCTGTTTCTCTCCCAGTATTTTTCCCTTCGTCTGTCTCTGTTCTCTATCTGCCCGCTTCGTAACGTCCCCCTGTAGAAAAAGCCCAAGGCCCGCTTTAATGTCGGGGCGGCCCGTTTTCCCTTTTATGGTCTTCTACAGATCTCAGATGACGTGTCGATGGGTGATTGGTTACGACTCTTTCTTATTAAACCCTAAACCCCTTGAGGCGATGGCCTCGCGGTTCCCGGGTTCCTCGCCGGAGCCTCCAGAGTCTCGGACACTTGGGGAGGGAGGAGTCTGAGATTATCGCGGGGAAAAGCTTTCCAAAACCCTCGAGGAAGTCGAGGCCGGCATCTCAGAGACCATAAAATTTTCTCCCCTTCCCTCCACACTATTCCTCGTCTCCGGCGGTCCCTCTACGATGGCGGCGACTCAGGGGGTTAAATGCCTCAACACATCCTCCGGGAGGAGGCGGTTCGTGGTGAGTGGGCATGTCCACGAGCTCCTGGCCTTGCCCTCGAGCTTTGGCCTTGAACCTTTGTGGTTTTGTGTCCTTCACGGTGCCTACTGAATTTCCTGCGATTAAATTATTTCTCTCGTGTTCTGCTTTGCAGTTTAAGACCTTCACGCAAAGAGTAAACGAGATTGAAATCGACGTCTTCCGCAGTCTCGACCCTGTGAAGGCGGAGCCGTCCGAGGGATCCTCCTTCTTCCGAGACTGCCTCCTGGAGTGGCGGGCATGCTTCCCAAACCTGTTGCCTTTTTCCGTTTTTTCTGGCTGATTTTCACCTGACACACTTTCGAAATGGTTTCTGTGGATTAGGAGCTCAATACCGCAGAGGACTTCATCTCGTTTTACGATGAGATGATGCCCTTCGTCCAGACTCTGCCACAGATTTTGCTGCACAAGGAGAAGATCTTTTCGGAGTTGCTTTCCCGGGTAAACATGAAGGCAAAGCTCTCTCTCGAGCCGATACTCAGGTCAGTCATCCAAGGTTTTTTTTTCCGGTGCTACTGAATAGTTAGTGTGATCTTAGGTTGAAAATTTTGACTGAGCCTTCTCGCCGTAGAATTAGTGTATGGGTTTCTTGTTTATTCAGTTGTGTGAAGCCACCTAGTTAAAACGGAAAATAATATTTTATAAATATGTCGATGAAAAACATGCTCTTTGTTGGAAAGCTTAGAACCTCAAAGACCAAAGTGCGGGGAAATTTTTACTCTGCTGGCACGGTGTCTAGTCTAAAATTTGACAAAAACATTTCTTTCTTAGGGAAAGAAAAAGAGGGCTCAGCAGAATACCTTTAGGAGCAGAATTTTTTTTGGTCGATTGTTGACTGATCAGCAGTTACGAAAACGATGACCAAAGTTAAAATCACTGGTCAAATTTGGTTAAATATTCTCTGTATTGTGGCATTCTTGAAGATAGTCAAACAGCGGCGGAGTTACCTCTTCCTTGCCTCAGAACATCAAGAATATGCGGACGTTGCTGTGCTATTTAAGTACTGAATATCAAGTAGGTTAACCTGATACAGTATCCAGATGGAAGCTTGGATAACTAGAAATGGGCATAGAATTTGGTTGAATTGGGTAGCTAGGTTGAGTTGGACTGTTCCTTTATATGGATGATGCAATCAGTTGCCAACATTGAATTTCATAAACATATTCAAGGAATGAAAGAGAAAACAGAGAACAAAAATAGAAGACTAGAAAACAGAGTAAACAGAAAAAGTAAAAAAATAGCAACCGATTCATAAGCCTCTTCAAATCTTCTTTTCCTTGTCATCCTTATCATATTTATTTTCTTCGCTGGTTTTTAAGCATGGTGAATCCTTTTTCTTTTCTTCCCTACTTCATTCCCATTCTTTTTGACGTCGTTGCTCTCTCCCCCCCCCCCCCCCCCTCTCTCTCTCTCTCTCTCTCTCTCCCTTCCTTTCTCAGTTCCCTCTCCGCCCCTTGAATTTCTACACCCTTGTCAGCATAGCACATCCAGTACTAGTTTGATTCTAACACATCTTATTCTTTGAGATTATTTTGGTGCTTTTGTAAATCTCTTTCACAACGAGCAGCTGGATGTCCATAAAAATGCGTGCTGGACGAAAACACTAAGATCCAGCTTCATCCAAAGCATCAGGAGAATCGTTGGGTTTGAGGGGTTTATGACTGATACATATCAGTGCAATAGCGTGAACTGAATCATTATCAACATAAAATAATATATATTTTTTGGGAGTGTGCTTCTTGGGGTTGGAAGCTGACATGTGAATAGGTTTACAATATTAATGTTATATTAAAGTATGCCAATACTAATATTAAAACCGTTACAAATTTTTATCCACCTGATCAATATGTGGTTTCACTTTAGAACGAATCTTTTGTATTAAATAACAATGCACCAGATGGTGGCCTTGTCTGGAAGGAAAGACAGTAAGTTATTACTCCTTGAGGAGTCTAACAAGAAAAGTAGCTGAACCCTGGATCCTTTTTCTCATGTCTACTTCGCTTTATGAAGATAAAACTTCGCTTTACGTGGGTATTGCTGCAGAAGATTAATATTCGAAGTTTGATGCTCGCGAAAAGTGGCCAAAAAAAATCCTTTGGGAATATTTCTTATGGTAAAGAGGGTATTGTGAGTATTTCACGAGCACCTTGTCATAAACGATCTACTGATTTTGGTTCAAAGAAACTGAAAACAGTTAAGGGAGATCTGAAACGTCTCAATTGTTGAGAGTGGAACCTCCACTCACTTTATAGTTTCCGATAAAATTTCATCCCTGCTATGCAAATTGGTGAGGTTCTGTGTAGTTTTTAGTTTTCAATTTACTTCTGAGAACTTCGAGTGCGGGTTAGACTCTGTTTTGAAATTCCAAGCTGAAAAGTAACTCTTGGTTGTGATAGCAGATGTTAATTGCCAGTCTCTCTCCCTTTCCATGCTATGCTGTTATCGCATTTTTATGTTGGCAATTATTTCATGAAGGTTTTGATTCTCTTATGAGTCTGATAATTTTATCCTATATATATAATTGATATATATTTTTTTGAATCCGATAATTGAAGAAATATCGCTTATGGCACAAATATCTGTTTCAGGTTGATTGCGTCCTTCTCTAGGGACATTTTAGAAGATTTTTTACCGTAAGATTCTTCTTCTTAATCTCTTAACTATCTGTATTGAAAGAACATATATGATACTGAAATTTTTGCTGAACAGTGGTTGCAACTTTGTCAATTTATCTGCTTTCCTATATGATGCTGGGCGGATATCGTTGCATGAATTGTATGGAATCCTTTCTCGTTTGAAAAGACTTTCTTTGTTTGAAACACTACTTCTCTTATGAGCGTGGCTTGAACACATCAAAGTTTTCAATTTCTGAGGGCAAGAAAACTTTAGATTTTGGAACATTCGATGGTTCACTAATTGAAATACATTCTTCTTTTCGCGATACCCTTTAATGTCCTATGCCATTCTATTCGAGATCTACAGTCGAAGTGGTAGGCTGTTATTTACTTCTTCGATGATGCATACTTTTTCATGGCTTTTACCATTAATCTGGAGGTGTGATAAAAGTGAATGGAAACAGTTTGTGTTTTTAGAATGCAATTAAGTTTAGATCAGATCCCATCTTTAAAAGACCTTGAGACGTTCGATATTCAATCAGAGGAAAATTTCGTTCATCTGCTAGAAACTAGACTTTGAGCTCCATCCTGGTAGTAACAATGCATAATGTTATGTGGTGTTTGGACTTTTGAGTAACTTTCCTTTCTGTGCTGAATTGCGCCCAGAAATCGAAATGAGGTCTTGTATATGTTTTTCTTTGCGGAAGATGACTTTTTGATTGATTTTTCTGGTCAAACGATCATGCCTTTAGTAACATACTTCAAAAATGTTATTTTAAGAGTATTCTTGCAGACTTTTGCAGAGACTTGTTAATTCTTTTATTGAGCTGTTTGAGAATGGGGGTGAACGAGACTCTGATGTTCTTGAACAGGTATCTTCTATGACATCTGCAGACTCATTGATTCTAATATCTTTACTTGAAAGAGGGCGTCATTTTGAATTTGTGTTTTTGATGTTAGGTTTTCACATCCTGGTCGTATATATTAATGTATTTGCAGAAGTATCTAATCAAAGACATTGCTAACGTTCTCCAGTAAGTGTCATGCCCATACTTTTTTGTGCGATTATTATTGGTAGATGATGTCCACAGTTAATCGTGTATCTTCTAGTAACTATCCCTCCAATTTTGTTGAAGGATCACTATTGATTTGAGATATTATCCAAACCATTACATCCAAGAATTTATGGCAGAGGCTCTCTCTTTCTTGCTAAGGAGTGCTCCAAAAACTGAAGTTATTGAAGGTACGCAAGTTCTCAACTATGGACAATGAGATGAAACCTGTGATTTGATCATTGTGTGACTTGCTGTTTCTAGGAATCTGGCACCAACGCATATTTATATGTAGTAGTGCCAGATTGTGTGACATGCTGTTTCTAGGAATCTGGGACCAATGCATATTTATATGTTGTTGTGCCAGATTCTGTGACATTCTGTTTCTAGGAATTTGGCACCAGCATTTCTGTGTTGCAGACTGTTGTTTGTTTCCTGCTTGATGGCCAACATGATTACTTCTGTTTTAAAATACATCCTTCCTCCTTCCTAAATTTTGCCGAGAAATAAACAAGGCATGGTCCCTTAATCTTGTTATCATGGACTCTGTCTAATGTGCGAGTGTACCCTCATTTGGTTCAGACTCACCAAACAGGAATAAACATTGAGAATCCAAGAAACAGAAAGAGGAGTCTTCTTCAATTGATAACAGATTCTCCATGTTTGGTGAGTCTGCACAACCAAATGAGGGTATACTTACACATCAGACAGCCCATGATAACAGGATTAAGGAGCCATATCTTGTTTGACCGAGTTAATCACAATGACGGGTGATGGCAAAGAGATATCCTGTGTGTTTTTATGATATGTTATGGAAATTATTCTTCGGTTTTCAAAAGCATTGAATTATAATCGAGTTGATAATGGATAATTTTATTCCTAACATTCATAGTGGAGTTGCTGGGGGTGGGCATTGGAGGGTTGGTTGGGTGCGTTGATTTTTCAGGCTGGAAATATAAGGAGTTGAGTTTTTCGTTCATCCACCCATTCAGGTTGTCCTCATTAGATGTTTGTTGTCTCTCAAACTTTAGAGGATAAACCGGATTAAGATTCTGTTGTTTCATCACATCAAAAATTTCACAGTATTATCTGGACGACTAAGCATGTTGGAGCATTAGGCACTGGGGAATTAGGTGGGCAAATGTAAGTGCTGTTCCCCTTGGTTACCTTTGTGCGTTGGGAAATTTGCCTGCTTTATCATCTTATTAGGTACTTTACTTAATAAATAGAAATCCAATGTAATGTCATTGAGTAATTGTTTTACCTAAGATTTATGCGTGAAAAATAAAATCATATATGCTTTGTGCAATTTTTGAGTTCATCAATCTAAAGCATTCTACTGGGATTATGAGGGTGTAGAATTTATCAATCAACAAAATATGTACTAAGGTTGACTGCATCAAAATGTTTCTCTTCGTAAAACAATCACTCAACACAGTCTATCACTAGGGCAGAGGACCACTAACGATATCAGTGATCGTGGGGTGTTGGATAATGTGTTACAGTTGTGAATGATTTTAATTTTAATTTATGTATATGACTTGGCCGCAAATAACATTAAATTTGAATTAAGCTAACGTGAAATTTACCTGATATGTTAAATACACGATTCTTTGTTGTAATCTATGTAAAACTAGGCTTTGCTAGTTGTTATCCCTTGTTACTTAGGCAGTGAAGTAGTTGCCCATCATAATTGCCTTTGCTGCCTTAGAAGCTGTGTAATATCGCATGGACGTTTATAACAAATATCTTATCTATCCTATCTATTTGATTTGGAAAGTAGGATGAAATTGGCTGTATTTCATTTGTTGTGGTCTAGCCAGTCCAATGTGCATCCCAATTACCTTAGTTAATACCTTTGCACCTGAGACATTTCTTGGGTGGATGTACTTACACATTTGCAGTATGTGTGTGTTATTAGTAACTTGATTTCTTTGTTGCTGATGTTAAGGTGTTAGAAAGGTTGTTACGGAAGCAGCAGAGGATTCCTCTGAGACCAGAAAAACTGGGGCCAGCGCTTTGCTATGGCACGTTATGATAGGGACTTCTTCCAGGCTCCACTCTAAAGCGGAGCAGGTTCTGCGGTTACTGATGGATAAATCTATTCTCGACTTGCACGGTGATCTCTCTGAACACCGTCTTTCTTTGTAACTGATGCATGATTCTTTCTATAGAGTACGAATTGTTTATTCTTCCATTTTTTCGATGTGACATTTTTTACTATCTGGCAGAATTTCTCATCTTTAGAGTTTGATTAGCAATTTTCTCGTAAATTTTATCTAGAAATGACATATTCTTTATTCTTTCGAGTGTGTTAGCAGTTTTACAATACTCTTAGTAGAATTGTCGTCTCACATGTCCAGTGGATCTGCGATTGTCATCGTATTAGTAGTTTGCTCCTCATTAGCGTTCGAGCAGACTTTGATTATGAGCTTTCATCTGATGCATTTCATTCACGTTCCACGTTTGGCCCTCAAATGTTAAACCTCTTGGTTCAGTTTCATATGATTCTTGGAAGTTTTTTCTAGTGTGCATGATTCTCCTAGCCTTGCAGCGTGCCACCTGAAATCTAGCACATCATTTACCATATATGTAAAAGTTCGTGATTGTTCCCCTTGTTCCATATGTAAGAGTAATTATTTTGTTTAGCTGCTGTACATTTTTGTATTTTGTTAACCTTAGGTCTGTTTTTTTCTGTTGCATTCCATTATACCTTGAAGTGTTAAAAGACAATTAGTAACAGTGGAATATTTTAAAAGGACACTGATTCCAATTAACAGTCTGTTGGTTACTGAAAATAATGTCCAAGACCTGCTCACCACAAAAAGGAGAAATTTTCAAGTCATGAACACAAGTGTGCTTGGTTGTCCGAATGGCTTATTCTTCAGATAGCGTTTTGTAAATATTTCACACTTAATTTATGTTTTGATAGATGAAGTTATCTTTTTCCTAGAAATAAAAATGGATATTTGATGTTGTACGGACAGCAGAATCATCAGCAGATTGATTCTATGATCTCTATGGAATCATCATCAATTTACTGCGTGAAATTTTTTATAAACTGTACTTTAAGAAAAAAGGGAGGATCAGACAGGAATGAGAATAACATATGCTTTCCTTCTGTTTATTTTTTTTTCTTTCGGTTATTTATCCCGGTACGTCCATTTAATGTCCTGTTGGACTCAAACAAGTGAAATAAAGCCTGCTCTTTAAGTACTCTCAAGTTCCGTGTTTGGCTTTACATGGTTCAGGTCTATTTGTCCACTTACTTTTGTAGCCTATATATAGCCTGTGATGAGTTTCTGCTGATCAATTACTGACCAGTAAATGTCTTTCTTCATTTTCTGGTTCAGACGCTGTTGTTGATGTGGTCAACGGGACACTCCAGAGATTATGTGAAGTACTTGAGCCAAAAGAGTTAAATTTGGCATGCAATTGTTTACTAGAAGAAATACGCCGTAGTGATGACAGTGGGTTTATAGATCATTTAAACCGATTATTATCGATACTTGTTTTCATTGTTCAATTAAGGAAAGGGGCCAATATTTGTGGTAAGTGTTACTGTTATTTTTACCACGGTTATGTTAACTGTAGTACTGATATTCGGTCTTAATGCTCCCATACACATTTCGATTAGTCTTTTCTTATACTTCAATTTGGTCCAATAAATGCAGACTACTTACCAGTTTTTGAGCTCATCACATCGCTCGTGAAGAAATACATTACACCTACTACTTCCAATGTAGAAAATTGTCTTGAGACTGTCAACAAGGTTTTCGAATTAATGCTTAGCCTTCTTGATGTGCAATCTATTGTTAATGAGTTATCAGCTACATCTCAGATTGTGCTAGAGTGGAGCCCTATCTTCCAGAGTGGAAACCCAAGGTAATTAAGGTTAATATCTTGTATTGGATTATCAGCTAATCCAATTGCAGATGCTGATACAGGTGTTTCAACTTGTAATTTTTCAATATTTTGACGTATGTTTTTTTTGCTTTCAGGTTGCTTTCATTCATTGGAGAAGTATTTACTAAGGATTCTCCTGTTCTAAATGCATTCAAAATGCCAATTATTAGGTACTTTTGAGTAATTCTTTTATTCGTTGTTTGCATTGATTTATTTCTTAATTTTCTTTGTTTTCTTTTCTTAACGTGCAGTGCCTTGGATGATCGGATTATATCATCACCTGACGAAGTCCTTTATCTTCTGTTGGTGTTCTTTGAGAAAGCAGGAGAATTTCATTGTTCTGATTCCTTCATCGGCCAGTCAAAGGATAGTGTCTCCAAGATACGTAGATTTTTTGATGAAAAACTGTGTTTTTGGTCAAATATGATTACCAAGGTTTCTGCAGAGGCAAGCCAAAGACCTGGTTTGACAATTTGCCATTCTAATTTCGCTATGTTATGGGGAATTCTGCAAAACTATTCTCATTTCTTTTGCTCAAATGAGAAGCTATCGCTGATCACAAAATTTATTGAAGCTGTCACTCAACTATTATCAGCTGAAACTGGTGAAATAATTTTTTGAATGTGAATAATTCTCTCGTATTACATCCTCTGGATAATAGTCTTATTCAAGTTGTTTCAGATGAAATTGCAGGTCTTTCAAAGACAGTTTGGCAGAGCATAGCGGCTGCTTCATTGGTGTCATATCAAAAATTGTTAGCTGGTCGCAAAGCTGGACACGCAGAAATAAGCAAAATATTGCATATTGCTGGAAAAAATAAGTCCTCTTCCCAGTTGTTATTTGCTGTTGCGGAATATCTCGACTCTCAGTTTGGGTATGGTGATGTATCTTGATTATTCAATATGAACGTCGATAATGGCTTCTGTCTTTATTTTGTTTTTTGTTGTCATATTTCTTGTTATCAATATTATTGAATATTATTGCATTCAGTTTAAAATTCCTTGGAGCTGGCGGAACATAGCGAAATATGACTTTTTTAATTTGTTGGATTTTTCCTTTTTTCCAACTTATATATGCCCAAAAACTTCAACTAGGGTCACAACAGCCAACCTAGATTGTGGAAATTTATAATGGACATTCTTGGTCTCCCTAAGATTGCCGTTCTTGTACTTTTTTATCTTTTTTCGGTTTAAATGTTTATACTGTGCACATCATTGTTTGCTGAACCTCATTTTTTTTTGTTTTTTATCTAGTTGACTTTTGATTTTCTATATTTTTACACAGAATTGGTTAATATATGGTGACTCTGTATTATGTTTCTACTTTTTTCTAACTTGAACTTATTTCTCTTGGTAGGTTGATGACTGAGAAAGATAGACTTGACTTCATAGACTTCAACAATGAGTGTTCAGCATCTGCAATCAAAATATTTGCTGAAAATTTATCGCAATCTGATAAGTTACTCCGTACTTCAACATTAAGAATTTTATCTCATTTTGCACTTTTAGATAAGCAACCATCCAAGGATGACGTGCGCCCATCTAAGAAACTGAAAACCGAGCCATCTGGGTTCGTCCTTGCAGAATCTCGAAATGAGAATGTATGTTTTCTCCTTTTCTTGAATTTATTTTGTTGTTTATGGATGGTCTTTTACTGTCAACTTACATTCCACTTTGTAAAATCAGGTCATTCCTCTGCTTCTATCGATTGAAGAAACTCCTTCTTCCGTCTCTACAAGCAGGGTTATTATTGTTTTAATTTCTAAGATACAGATGAACATTGCCGCAGGAAAGATTAATGACGCTTATGTTCCTCTTCTCTTAAATGGACTTATTGGGATTGTCTACAACAGATTTGGCTCTCTTTGGGAACCAGCTATAGAATGCCTCAGTGTTCTCCTTGGCAGGCACAAGGATCTAGCTTGGAACCAATTCATCGAATGCTTAGAAAACGTTCAGCTGAAATTCCTCTCTGCTGGTGAAGTGGATATGATGAGCACTGACCATCCAAAGCCAAATGGTATAAATCGATTCCTCACGTGTTTATCAAATAATTCTTTTATTTCGTGCAATACAGAAGTATTGATAAGTTGCAATGGAAGCCGATTTATTTTCATTTCTGATCATTGATGCGAAAACGAAGAATGGGCTACTGCATGATTCATGAATTCAGTTCATATTTAACAATCTTTATTGTTGTTTTTGAACTTCTGTATCTTGCGTTGGTCATGAGATTTTTATTTGAGCCCAGGGGAGAATGAGACCCGACCTCTTCTTTTGAATGTCCGGATAAAGACCTTTCTATTCGGAATATGGAGAGCTTTAAAAGAACGTTTTGAGTCCGTGATTGGAAATCTCCCAATTCTTTTTAGCAGGACCCAATTTCTGCATGGGTGGTCTGCTCCGGGCCACTTATCTTTCGGAAACTGACTCTTACTACACAATCCATTCGTAAACTTCATACTTTTGCTGATTCTAAAAGTCCGGATTTCAATAACCTTCTGCAAAATTAAGTTTTATACTATCCTCTATTGAGGATATTAAGTTTTGGAGGCTTCCGAGTAGCTATGGCCTCACGTTCACAGTTCTTCATCCCTTCTTGCATCATAATCCTCTCTGCTTCATTTCTTTTGAGAGATGGAGTCCGGTTTTGTTTCCAGGTATTTTAGCTTATTCACTTCCTATGTTTATTCAGTTTTCTTGTCCACTCTTGCACCATTGCACTTGTTCGTTTTACAGTGTTATATCTCGTCTTATTTGTTTAGAGTTAGTATTCAGAAGCGCGTATTGCTGTTGTAAATGTGTTACTGGTGTTTTCACTTTCTTTTTGTGAAAATGTTTTCTCTTGCTGATCCCTGTGATAAATGCCCACTACGCTCACATTTGTGTTTACCATGTAATCTTTTGAATTTTTGTTTATGAAAAACTTGTTCAAGGCCTCTGAATATGGCAAGTCGCAAAACTGTTTGGATTTTCAGGTTTAGTCAATTGCTTCAACTTGTCTATGGCCACCCATTCTGATAGCACGCCACGGGGTACTGTCTTGGGTCTTTTGATTCGGACACTGCAGAAAGTGCCGGATATTGCTGAAGCTCGGTCTCGACAAGTTGTACCATTATTTTTGAAATTTTTAGGCCTGGAAAATGTTGATGTTTCGAGGTGTGCTGCTGCAATCTTTCCTAATGTTTTTCACTATTTTCAAGCTCCATGACTTAATTTCTAAGTTTTTGTGGTTATTTTATTCCTAACTTGCACTTAAATAACAGTGGAGGTTCGTTTGGACTCGAAAACTATTTAGGCAAAGGATGGAAATCGGTTCTGAAGGATTGGCTGAATCTGCTTCGGCTACTGCATAATTCTCGGTCCCTTTATCTCAGCCAAGTTCTTAAGAATGTTTTGATGAACAGGTCAATTGAGTTTTGGTTGAGGCTGTTTTTCTGTTTATGTGGATTCTTTAATATTATGTTTATTAAAATCTCAATTTTTTCGGATATTATGGTCTTCACAGGCTTCTTGATGATACTGATCCAGACACTCAGTTAAAAGTGTTAGATTGTATGCTGAACTGGAAAGATGATTATTTGCTCCCATATGGTCAACATCTTAAAAATCTCATTATTGCAAAAAATCTGAGAGAGGAATTGACGACGTGGACACTGGCAAAAGAATCTTCCCAAATTCAAGAAGCCCATAGAGGTTTCTTAGTTCCTATAGTAATTCGAATTCTAGTTCCCAAAGTCAGAAAATTGAAGACACTAGCATCACGTAAGGTATGGAAATGACAGGTCTGGTGGTCTTTACCTGTTTGTCGTCCCAATATTTCGAAATCATCACCACTGATGTATCTTTTATCTTTTTCAGCACGCAAGTGTAAATCATCGAAGAGCCATCCTTTGTTTCTTGACACAGCTGGATGTTAATGAGCTTCCCCTCTTTTTTTCCCTATTGTTAAAGCCGTTATTTTCAAGTGCTGATGGGACTAGTGCTCATGAAAATCAGCTTCATGTTCTATTTGACAAATTCCTGGCACTCCCATTATCTTTTCTTCAGACTGAGTTACTTTCAACGATGATTGCTGGTCTCTCTTCTAAGAAGAAGTTCAGTTTTTTGCACGTGGTTGTAGATATTCTAAGAAGTTTTGACGAGTTTCATGTCAAACCCTTTCTTGATTTACTCCTGGCCATTGTTGTCAAGATACTGGAGTGGTGCACAGATAGCGCCTCTATTCCCAGAGACACCGCTTGTTCTGGCATTGAAGATGATTCAACTAATATCTTGAAGGTATGAGTCCATATTTTCTCGTCAACCAAATCATATCGAGTTTGTCCCTTTTTCAATTACATGGCTTGGATTGTGCAATATCACATTATCATTTTTTAATTAAAGGTTTTATCTTTGCGTTCTTTCATTACTGCCATTACTGCCATGGAAAAAAACACCTGATGCTAACCTGTTGGTTGGATGGGCATTTGATCTTTGCAGTTTAGTGGGTTGCTCTATTCACAAGTTAGGATGATATTCATTTTTTTCCTAGATTACCACGTTTCCCCAGCAAACCCACCCTCATAGTTTATCATAACTGTGAGACTGTCCCTGCGGCTCAAATAATTAAAACATAATTTTGTAACTATATCCAGCCATGAAGTAATTATGTTTGCAGGAAAAGTTTAGCAAACAATGAGTATCATTCTATAGTAACTACATCAAAATATTCTTTTCTTCACAATATCTTCTGCGAAAATTTATGTTAAGGTTCCTCTTCGATGAATGTTTCTGCCTAGCTATGCTCTACAAGGGAGGAATCCAATTGTATAGAAAGTTGGGAAATAAAGAGTATTCTTTATTTTTTCTCTCATCTTTTTTCATGCTATGGTGCAGAGAAAGAGATCAAAGGAGGAGAAAGGTAGGAAAAGATCAAATTCAGAGGCAAAGGATTTGCGGTCTCTATGCTTAAAGATTTTCTGTTTCACTCTGAATAAGTATGGAAGCCATCATATTTGCTTACAGATATGGGATATCTTTTTTTCATCTGTGAAGCCTTTGATTGACAGTTTTATACAAGATATTTCGGGGAGTGAAAACCCAAGTTCTCTGCTTTTATGCTTCGTTGCAATGAGCAAAAACCCAAGATGTATCTCACTTCTGGATGGGTTTCTCCCCAACATATTTTCAGTTCTGACTGTGAAGACTGCATCTGAGAGTGTTACCTCCTCTGTTCTCAGCTTTGTTGAGAATCTTCTAGTCTTGGATAGTGAATTGGACCATGAAGATGACCTAGTAAAAAAAATTCTTATGCCTCATCTCAAAGATCTCTTTTCTGGCCTTTGTCAGTTCTTTCAACGTCGCAGGGTGTCTCAGAGGTACGCTTCTGTGTCAATCAATATGTTAGCTTTCACTGTTTGTTTTAATATCTTATCACAGTTCGTTCGTTTTTATGTTTAGTGGTTCATAATTTTATTTGACGCATATGAGCATAGCTTTCCAAGGGAAGTTTAATTGTTTAGGAAATTAGATGTTCAATGGAATGACAATTGAGAAAATGCAGTGCTATGGTATTTGTTCATCAGATTTTCGGTTCTATATTTTGATTCTCATGTAGTCTATAATTTATACCTGGGTGAGCAGTGGTCGATCTGATCGATACGTTTCTTATTACAGCTGTTGATGGATTGGTGGACATGGTTTGCAGTAAACTGTTCCTGTGGTTTACCAGTTCTTTTCATGCTTTTTTTTGCTTATATTTGTAGTTTGTATACGAAAGGAAGAAAATATTGCACCTCCGATAAAAGGGTATTTTGGACAGTAGTAGGCCGGAATTGCCTGTCGCAATTCTGCCATATAATGAGGGAGAAGAAAGACTGGGGCAATGACCTTAATCAAGCAACCTAGTATCTTCTCTTCGTCCAATGCTCTTGAAAAGAAGATGATTTGGTCTCATGATGGGGACTCTAAACTTTATCCCTGTTCTTCATGCGTTACTTTGATAGAAACCCGTTTTTTCCTACAGATTGGTCTTCGTAAATTGCAGTTCACGTTTTCTCTGTCGTAAACTTCAATACCTTCTACTAGGCATGCATCTGAGGCTCTTTCCACAGTGATCTAGGATTTTGGTCAACTAATGAAGAATGAGTGGTGACGTACCTGAGGTTGAGACATGAGGAGAACTGTTCTTGATTGTCTAGAGAAGATAGAGCGTATCAGATTCAGTTTAGCTTTTTTCAGGATGTAGTTCTTGTATACCCTCTGAAGAATCTGGAATACCTTTTTGTGATAAAGTAATAGCAGTGCCTTTTGTGATGTTATTGAATTGTTTGATCTCAAAACTTCATAGATTTTTTCTATTAACTTATTTGCTGCTCTTCATTTACTTCATGCTTCTATATATGTACTTGTGGTTGAGGCATTTTTTTATGTCCTTGTGACAAAAGTTCGCTGCTACACAAATCTGTTTTATAGAATCTTTATCACAGAGCTGTTTATTTATAGGAAAACGATAATTTGGCCGGCTATGGAAGAGATCAGGATATTTAAGCTATTGGGAAGATATGTTAACGAAACATCAATTGCAAGGGAATTTATTGATATTATGCTCCCCTTTTTCGGGAAGAAAGGTCTAAATTCTGGTGAGAGATTCTCATAAGCCCTCGTGGTCTGTATTTTGATATTTGTGACAAGACACTCAGTCGTTTACTTTTACATGTTTCAGATGAATGCCTTGAAGGTTTGCATGTTATTGAAGGGATGTTGCCTATGCTTGATAGTGTGGCTTCGAGAAAAATTCTAAATGTAATCAGCATGGTTCTGATTTCTGCTAGACTGGATATCAAATTGCTAATTTGCAAGATTCTTGATGGGCTCAGTGTTGTGGATCCGTCGTTGGCATTTCTGGTACATATTTTCCTTTACTTCGTTCTTTCTTTGAGTTTAAGTTCATTGAAAGATACTCTGTTTACATGTCAGGCGAAGCTTGTTCATGATCTCAACGCAAGTTCTGCCACAGAACTGGATGAAATTGATTATGACACGAGAATCAGTGCTTATGATGCTGTAACAGTGCAGTTATTCTCTTCATTGGGTCATGATCGTGCATCAATTGTCCTATCACAGTGCTTTAATGACATAGCATCTGATTTGATTCTCAGGCAAACCGCATCAAGGGCTCTTGTATCCTTTATAGATTTTGCTGCTTTATTTTTGGGCTGTGATGCAAAAGGCCATGATGATGCCAAGTCAGACGGTTTAATGTTAGGGAATGCGCTGAATAAGGAAACTGAGACTGTTGATGCTAATGTTTGGACTCGGAAGCAGATTCTGAAAATTATTGCGAAATTTTTTCTGCAAAATATGGGTGAAACAATGAACAAGGAGATTTCTAGCCAAAAGGTGCTAAGTACAGAACTGGACATGTCTATTCATAAGGTTCGTAGAACTGAATGATCTTTTGGCTCGTGTACTCTGCTTGAATATCTGCTCTGTCAATGTTCCTCATGATGCTGCATTTTTCAGGAGTGGATTATTTTACTTCGGGAAATGGTTTGTAAACTTCCAGGAGTGCCAGCTCTCCTTTCACTAAGACCATTATATAGTGAAGATCCAGAAGTCGATTTTTTTCATAACATTTTTCACTTGCAGGTAACTTTCCTTGTATTTAGACTCCTCTTCGAGATATGTGAAGCTTAGTTATGATTTATGACCCATAATTTCATTCTGATGACAGACATATAGGAGAGCAAAGGCCTTGTCATGCTTCAGAAATGCTGTCAGCATTGGAAATCTATCTGAGGTACTTAAGTTTTTATAAAATCTTCTAGTCCAACTTCTAGTCCAAGAAAAACGACGTCTTTAATTGCAATAAACGTCTGTAGGTATTTTAGATTTAAGCTTTGAATAGTTCTATGTTCGTCTCTATACGTATGAGTTTTTCACGGGGTAATTCTGGTTTTTAATCACAGGAAATGATGCAGAAGGTTTTTGTTCCTCTGTTTCTCACTATGATGTTTGAAGTGAAAGGTGGTAAAGGGGAACATCTAAAAAATGCATTTATAGAGTCACTGGCTTCTATGTCCGGGCAGATGCAGTGGAAGGCTTACATTTCATTTTTGATGAAAATTATGTGGTATATCCAGAAGACACATTCAAAATCAGACAAGCAGAAGATTCTTCTACGCCTTTTGATCTCTGTTTTAGACACATTCCATTTCTGCAGTAATGGTCGCAACCAGGGGGCAAAGGATGTTGTTGAAGAGAACATACTTGCATTAACGACTAAAAATTCTATCTCAACTGTGGCAGATCCTGATGTGGTCCAGCATACCCTTCAACACAAGATTCTCCCTCAGATTCACAAGTTCTTAGATGTAGACTCTGATAGAATCAATGCCCATATGAGCCTCGCTGCCCTCAAAATATTGAAGTTATTGCCAGAGGAGATTCTGGAGTCCCAGCTGCAGACCATCATTCGACGCATATCTAACTTCTTAAAGAGTCGTTTGGAAAGCATACGAGATGAAGCAAGGTCAGTCTTGGCTGCATGCCTGAAAGAGTTGGGTGTTGGTTATTTGAATTTTATAGTCAAAGTCTTGCAGGCAACCTTAAAAAGAGGTTATGAGTGTCACGTATTAGGATATACTCTCAATTTTATTTTGTCGAAGCTTTTTCTGAAATCTGATGTTGGAGCATTGGACTCTTGTTTGGAGGAGATTCTTTTCATAGTGGAGAATGACATCCTTGGAAGAGTTTCTGAGGAGGAAGCTGCTAAATTTGCTTCAAGAATGAAAGAGACGCGTAAGAAAAAATCTTTTGAGACGCTGAAATTGGTTTCACAGAATATTACGTTCAAAACTCATGCTCTGAAGTTGCTGTCTCCCATTAGAAAACACTTGCAGAATCATCTCACTATCAAAGCTAAAGCAAAACTCGAAAAGATGTTGAATTGTATCGCTTCAGGTATTGAAACTAATCCATCTGTTGATGAGAAGGAATTACTTATATTTATATATGGACTTCTTGAAGATGGTGATGCTTTGGAGACAGTAAAATTGGCATCCACACGCCTGGATAACAACAATCAGCAGAGCCCTGACGTTTCTAAAGATGAAATTCATCCTATTGGTAATGGATTTTGCAGTTCTCACCTTATTTTGTTGTTTGCCCTTCGATTGTTGCATAATCGCTTGAAGAATATGAAACTGGACAAGAAAAATGAAGAGTTGCTGTCTAGGTTGGATCCTTTCATTGCACTGCTGGGAAGTTGCCTGAGCTCCAAGTATGAAGATATTTTATCGGCTGCTTTCAAATGCCTTATTCCATTAACAAGGCTACCTTTGCCATCTCTTGAGCTTCATGCCGACAAAATCAAGATCTTGCTGCTCGATATCACCCAAAGATCTAGCAAAGTAACCAGTCCACTCATGCAGTCCTGTTTAAAACTGCTCACTGTGCTCTTGCAGACCACTACAGTTTCGCTTTCAAACGATCAACTACAGATGCTCGTCCAGTTTCCAATTTTTATTGATATCCAAGCCAAGCCTTCCCATGTTGCCTTGTCCCTTTTAAAGGCGATTGTTGCACGAAAGCTGGTTGTCCATGAGATTTATGATCTAGTGGTACAAATTTCGGAATTGATGGTAACAAGTCAAGACGATCCGATTCGGAAGAAGTGCAGTCAAATACTGTTGCAGTTTTTGGTAGATTATCATATTTCCAGTAAACGTCTACAACAGCATCTAGATTTCTTATTAGCAAATTTGAGGTGAATGTCTCCCTTGTCTGAGGAGTGTTTCTTTTTTTTTCTATTAGTTTTTTTCTAAAAAAAAAAAAATGGTATCTTTTCAGTTACGAGCATTCATCTGGAAGAGAAGCTGTGCTCGAAATGCTTCATGCGATTCTGGTTAAATTGCCTCCAGCTGTTGTGGAAAACCAAGCTCAGTCATGGTTCCTTCATTTAGTGGTTGCTTTAGCTAATGACACTGATAAAAATGTCCAGTCTATGGTTGGCACCGTTATAAAACTTCTGCTTGGTCGTATTAGCCAGAAAACACTTCATCCCATTTTAGAGTACAGCCTATCTTGGTACAGAGGAGAGAAACAGCATCTGTGGAGTGCTGCAGCGCAGGTACTTCACATTCTTCTTTAAACACTTTTCTGGATGCTCACTAGCATCCTCCCTTGCTGTGCAAGTAGTTTTTCGTAGGCTTAACTCGAAATCTACTGAAACAGGATAATATCCGCTACGAAGTAAAACTGGCTGATAATTAACTTGGATGCGCCATTCTCGTGGCTCATTTACTGATGCTAAAAATGTAGGGGTATATTGCATTCTCATGGTACAGAAATAATGTCGGGAAGTCTTAAGATGCCTAGGATAAGTATCACTCTTGGCTATACCTCACTTGTGTTGGCTGTGCATCTGGTTTATTTTCTTTAACTGGTTCATACATGAATCTAGGTCTCCAATATATATATATATTTTTTTTGTTTACTCCCTATCTAGTTTCCTTTTCTATGGAGCTTTCAAAAGCTTTTGGATTCAACATTCTTTGTAAATTTTTTAAAAAAGGAATTCAGAAAATATTTAACAGAAATGCAAGATGTACAGATACATATAGAGCATCTCCGAGAAACTGTGGCAGGATGGTGAGGATCATCCTACACCAATTTTAGAAAAATTGCAGAAATGTTTGCCTGTTCTCATTGGAAAAGTTTGTAAATCCCTATGTGGCTCAACTATTCAAAAATCTGATTTCTTTGTCCATTTCAAATGCCTTAGCCGGTTGCATTCGTGCTAAGCTACAACATCTTTCATGTCCAAGATGCTACCATTTTCTGCATGTTTCTGGGTTGTATTACATCCTGTTATTGATCTACACTGCTTATGATAATCTTATGATGGTTCCTTTTATGTTTACAGGTCCTCGGTCTATTGGTTGACATTTTGAAGAAGGGCTTCTTGAAATATAACATCAGCGTACTGCCCGTCGCCAAATGCATCATGGACTCAGCGATTGATATCATCACCAAAGACAAGGATGCCGACTGGAGCACCGACGTGGTTCCGCTGTGGAAGGAGGCTTACACCACACTTCTCATGCTGGAAAAGATGCTCTGCCAGTGCCCGGAGCTCTACTTCGACGCAAGTTTTGAGGTGCCAACTGTTTCTCTCTCATCTCTCATTTGCTTACAGATCACTTGTGTGTGGATGTGGCATGTACTTCACTGTAGCTTCACTGTAGTACTTATCTACCGAGCTAGAAATATGTCTGCAGCCAGCCCATTATTTCGCAAGTAACCTATTTAGGATGCCATTGTTGATGCTCATCTGATTTCTCTCGTTTTCTGATGATTTATCTGTTCATGTTTCTCGTGTGCCAGGAGATTTGGGAAGCCATTTGTAAGTTCTTGCTGCACCCACACGTGTGGGTGAGGAACACCTCAAACCGTCTCTTGGCCTTGTACTTCTCACAAGCCTCTGACAGGAGATCGATTCGTCACGAGAGATCGGAGACAGGGGGAGCGCTTTTACTGAACCCTGCTAGGCTGTTCCTGCTGGCGGTCTCATTCTGCGCTCAGCTGAAGGCCCAGTTCTTGGACGACACCGCCAGCAACCTCGTCATCCAGAATCTTCTCTTTTCCATATGCGGCGTTCACTCCCATGCGAAAGAGCTGGGCTCGACCCCCATTCATGCCTTTTGGGCCGCACTTGGTCCCCATGAGCAGAGGTTCTACCTCGATGCCTTCGAGCTTCTCGGCTCCAGAAAGGGTAGAAATGCGTTCCTGTTCCACACTGCCAGCGACATGCCTCAAGCTCCAGAGGGGAGGAACTCCAAGCCTCAGTCGCTCCTCGTTCTTCCCTTGCTCGGCAAACTGGGGAAGATCGCCCTGACGGGGGATGACGTCCAGGTGAGAGCCCAGTGTTTCTTGGTGCGCAATATTATCCGTCTACTAGCCCCGAGGACGATAGTCTGACGATTCTACTGAATTTCTTGCAGACGAAGATGGTCTTCGACTGCTTCAGAAGGCTCTCCTCACAGCTCGGTCATGAAGGTTGCACTGACTATGCCGTTCAGCTGTTATCGCCGCTGTACAGGGTGTGTGAAGGATTCTCCGGGAAAGTGATCTCAGGTGTGCTTCATATTCTTCATACTCTTCTTTCATCTTTCTATCAATCTTCTCTGCAGTGCTTCTAAATATGGATAGTTTTAGTTGACTTGGTAAGCATGTGTGATCACTTCTCGGGTGCTCCGTTATTCTCCAGATGAAATCAAGGAGCTGGCCACTGAGGTTCTCGAGAAGATGCGTGGGGTTCTGGGAGCAGACCATTTTGTGAGGGCCTACAACGAGATACGGAAAACCATGAAGGAGAAGAGGGACAAGAGGAGACAAGCCGAGAAGCTCTTGGCCGTCATAAATCCTATGCGGCATGCGCAGAGGAAGCTGAGGATTGCTGCCAAACACCGAGCCAACAAGAAGAAGAAGATCTCTGCCATGAAGATGCGGAACTGGAAAAGATGACCACCTCTGTGCATCTGATGATGCACAGCACTTATCGCAGAAGATGCAAATATGGAAGCCACCTACTTTCTGGGACAATACTGCCCAAAGCAGGTTGAGTGTACAGAATTCCACGGATCGTTTTCATTTATCCCTCCAAGAGCTTGTACAGTGCGCCTTCCCCCCTGAAAAAAAACAGAAGTTTTTGTTCCCTGCTCCTAGAATCTGATGATTTCGTACAAACCATTGCAAATGTTTTACCCACAGTTCTTCATGTATACCATAAAAAAATTGGGGTTATCTTTAAGAATGGAGCTAGAAGTGATTATCTATTGTTGTTTCTGAAAAGTTGTACAGAATGTTGAACTTTGTGATGAACTTCTTCCAACAGACTCGATCGAACTAGGCCTAAGTTCTTTTTTTCATTCCAAGGTTTGTAGTCTGCTCTGAATGGAGAGGGTATGAATCTCAACGCCAACCTTTCAGATTGTTGATAAAGAAGAGCAGCATTTGAAACTATGTAGGGTTCTACTTAGTGAGAAAAAAATATTCATCTTTAATCTTGTAAGCTTTGTTGGATTGTTTGTTGCACGGGTTGTCTCTGAAATGTCTTTTTATTGAACATCACACACGAATATTTTGAGATTTTAAGTTAACATGTTCCCTTTGAGTACATTCCACTCATATTTGTGCTTGTTTTCATCCATTATGATTTATGTGCAATAGGAATGATACTTATGACAATTTGACATTACGATATTAGCTTGCTCCACATTTTTTCCATCATCAACATAGAGTGAAGAGAACACAACAGGTAGCATGGTAGATTTAGATGTGAAAAAGTTTGTAAATTTTATCAATCAATGGAATTATTTGAGTCAAAGAAGACCTTAAATATAAGGCCAATGACAATGTGGGAAAGGGAATGAAGAAGAAACAATTAAAAGAAAGACAGGAATTGTATAGAATGAGCAGATGGCCCATTAACATATATAGCCCAACATGTACATAGTCTAAAATTTTTCCTCAAGTTGGTGAATGGATAGTCTACAATCTCAGCCTAGAACATAATCTGAAAATGAGATGAAGTCTTTTGATAAAAATATTAGCACATTAAGTAAAAGAGGTAATAAATGGTGTGAACATGAGTTTGGACTCCAACTTCTCTTTAATAAAGTGATGATTGACCTCAATATGTTTAGTACAATTATGCTGAACTAAAAATCATGAGTAGTGTTAATAGTAGATTTATTGCCACAATAAATTCAATATGGAGCTCAAAGAAAATATTATTAATTTAGAATTTTTCACACACTCCTTATGCCATGGCTTGAAATTCAACTTTAGTGCTAGAGTATGCCATAACATCTTATTTCTTGTTGTGCCAATAAATTAACTTATCTCTAATAAAAGAATAGTAACTTGTAATATATCACATTTCATCAAGAGATCCAACATAATCAGCATCAATATAAATGTTCAATAGTAAATTACCATGATGATAAAATATAAGACACATTCTGACATGGCTTTTAATGAATGACTCTTGATGTTGCTTGAAAATGAGGCATATGTGCACCATGTAAAAATTAACTCAACATCCCAAATGTTGATGAGATGTCAAGATGTGTATGAGTAAGATAGAAAAGTTTCTTAATAAGAATCTGATATCTCCCTTGATTAATTGGTTCAACATTATCTATAGTTGTAAACATATAATTTAGCTCAATTAGATTCCAACAAGTTGACACTCCTGCATTCTTATTTCAACTAGGAGATCCCAAGTGTATTTTTGTTGACTAATGAGTATATTAGTGGAGTGAGGACCTTCAATGCTAAAGAAATTCCTTAAGTTCCTAAGTTATTTAAGTTCCCCTTCACTAGAATCATTCCCACTAATAATAATATCATCCACATAGACCAAAATAATAGTCACTCCCCTTGAACAAGAGTTTTTGAAGAAAAAATTGTGATCACTATTACTCTATAAATATTCAAATCCACACATAGTCTCACTAAAGTGACGAAATCAGGCTTAAGGAGATCATTTAAAATCATAAATAATTTTGTGTAGTGAGACATATGTTTAGAAATATGTGGCAAATTATAACAAAGAGGCAGTGCCATATAAATCTCTTCAATAAAATTGTCATGAAGAAATATATTTTAACATTATACTATAAAATTAGTTAACCATAATGAGTAGTTAATGCAATCAGAAGACATACAATGTTCATATTAGTAACAAGTGCAAATATTTCGATGTAGTCCAATTGACATTGTTAGGTGAATCCTTTGGTGATTAGTCAAGTTTTACAGTGATCAACTTAATCATCAACACAATATTTAACTATATAAACCCACCAACACCTAATGTCGCTTATTAATTGTAAGTGAGACAATATCCAAAGTATTATTCTTGATAAGTGTTGTCAATTCTTCATCTAATACCTTCTTCCATTCTTAAATAGTCAATGCTCCCTTAATGGTCTCAAGGATGAAAATAGAGTCAAGAGTAGTAAGAAAGGTATGAAAAGTGGGGAAAAATAATGAAAATATAGGTAGTTATATAAGGGATATGGTCGTGATGATGAGCAATATGTATATCCCAGTCAATAGAAGTAGGAATGAACATGAGGTCAGCCAAAGGCATTAAAGACTAATCAAGAAGTGATACTAGGGTTAACTTTGGATTCTCATGCCAAGAGTAGATCTTTCCAAATCTTTACATTGATAAGAGAGAAAGAAGAGAGAGAACTAGTTTCTAGGATGTGGAGATGAGGAGAAGAAAATCACATATGTTAGATGAGGATAATGTGACGTCTTTCATGGAAGGTAGAAGAGAAAAATAAGTAGACTACTCATCTAATGTGACATCCATAGTAACAAGAAATTATTTAGTGTGAGGGTGAAAACACTTATAGTCTTTCTACATAGTTGAATAGTCAATAAAGACACATTTTATGAATTTTGTAGTCAATTTTGTCAAGAGAAGGATGATGAATGTATACAAAACTGATACACCCAAAGACAAGAAATAAAATGAGTGCATAACTATATTGAAGGAAAGAAAGAACAAAAAGTGCCAAGTGAAGATAAACTTGTCAAGGCATGTGAAGGAACATAGTCATTTCATGAATATATCTTAACCCATTTTGTTGTAGAGTGTATATATAAGATGTTTCATGAATAATATCTTATTTTTGAAACTATGTAAGAGAAAGGCATTAGAATAGTCATGTATTATCTGAGTTTAATCATTTAATTGTGGTATTGAACTAATTGTATATCATCGAACATAAAAGATGGAACAATCTATTGAAGATTTGACTCATGCTTTAGTAATATATTCAAGTGACATGAGTGTACTTATCAATAGAGATAATGAACCATTGTGCACTAGATATATTGAAAGTAAGAGATGGTCCCCAAACAACATTATGTATACTATCATATGGGATATAACAATGTTAATTAATTGAAGAAAAAGTGGATTGTCAATGTTTGACAAATTGACAAGTGTTACATATAAAGGAAAATGAGTTTTTTCCTCAAAACAAATGAGGGAACATAATTTGTCATGTAAAGAAGGAAGAATGAGTAAGACAGATGGATAAGTGTCATACATTCATTGAAGTCAATAGAAGACACGAAAACTAAGTGACTTCTAATTGATAGGATATGTCATCTTGGTGTAAAGAGATTATATGGCCCCCCTTGCTCTTTAGCAAATCTAATCTTCTATCTCAATACCTTGGTGGACAATAGATATAAATCTCACAATATGAGGAGACTCAACAAATTTTCACAATTAGTTAATCTTAATGAAAAGTTTCTTTATGTTTACATAAGGTAGTGAAATAGTTGGTGATGAAGCATGAGGTGTCTCAATCATGGGTTGAACAACGTTAGATGCACTATTAAAGGTGTGATGAGAGTCTTCAGCTGTGGCCATTAGAGATCAAAAGGGTGATTTTGAGATGGATGACAAGTGGTAGATTTGTCATGTAATTTCCAACAAGTCTCATTCTAATGTTCTCATCACTTTTAATAGTTACAAAAGAAGACTTATTGAGATTTTGACTTATGTTATTTCACAAATAAATAATTTAATATTTGTGACTTATGACTTGTCGAATCACTATAAAGAAGTAGAAAGTATTGCAACTTTACTTTTAATCTTTGTGACAAATATAACAGCTTTAGTAGTATTATTAGATAGAGTTGAAGATGATTTTCTTCACAACATATAATAATATTGTTTGATTTAATGATGACATCTTTTTATGATTTAGACAATGACTATGAAAAAATTAACATTATGTAACTAGTCATTTCAAAAATTTATAAATACAATCATTCAAAATATAGTCACAATTAATTGATGTAGGATTAAGTAGTTCATAATAATATTCTAAATTATATCAATTCCCTTATAGTGATGTTATAGATTTATTAAGGCTGCAAATTGGAGCATCATCATGTTTCTTAGTGTGACTCTCATGAGCAGCTTCCTATATCTCTTTTGCAAAGTCCAAATAAATAAATTATTCACCAACATTAGCAGCCATATTGTCCACAAGCCATTGATGATCACTCTCCTCTTTCAAGCACTAATTATAATGAGAAGGTGTTAGGGGTTTATCAATGAGATGGAGTATTTGTTTTCCTTTCAATCTAATTTGAATATATCTCCATCATAAAAAGAGGTTTCTATTAGTAAATAGAAACTTAAGTGGTACTTTGGGGAGATGATAATACCAACGATTAAGAGTTTGGTGAGAAGATTAAATTCATCCAAATAAATCTTCAACATCAGATTTGAATGTCATAGTAGTTGACATATTTTTTGAAAAAATATTTCTCACTCAAATGATCCCATGAAATGAAGTTTTTGGACCTATGAGAGGAATTTTGTGAATAAAGAGATGAAGGAATAAAAGATGGTGTCTAGAAAGAGATTTCAAGCATATGAATGAAATCATGATTGCAAGAAAGAAGAAAAGAGTCACAATCATGATCAGAGGAGAAACGAAAAATCAAAAGATCATGATAGGAGGAGCAATGAAAATTAGAAGATCACGATTAAGAAGTGTGAAGATATCAACTAGAAAGTTTTGGTATTGATTGCAATCAAAATGAATTTTGGTGAAGAAATTTCATGGAAAAATCTCTTGATTGTATTGTGAAGAAAGAAGTGTTAATCATGGTTGGAAAGAAAGAAGATATGATCTTAATGTAAGACCCTAAGAAGAAGAAATTAAGAATTGTGATGTAGAATGATAAAATTGTAGAAGAAAGAAAATATTAGAATAGAGAATCAATCTCAAAATTATTATGACTTGAGAGCTCTACTACCATGTTGAATGAGGAATTAGAGAAGTAGAACTTTGAATGAAACTATTTGAGTCAAGGAAGGCTTTAAATATAAGGCTAATTACAATGTGAGAAAGAAAATAAAAAAGAAACAGTTACAAGAAAGAAAGAATAGTATAGGATAGACTGATGGTAATTAACACATATAGACCAACATGCATATAGTCTAATACTTGTTATATGTAGTATTTTCATTCCACCCCTAGTAGCAAATGAGTTATGAGAAAATTAATTGAATATTAATTTGATTGACCTCATAGGGCCATGAATCTAATACAAGTGTTTGATGAAAACCTGAGTTCCTTATAAATATGAACTCATGTGTTTAATGAACACATGAATCTAGTAGATACTATCTAAAGTCTTATTGCTCAATGAAACTTAAGATAGAAGTTAGTGGTGAGAGTAGGATAAGTATGCCAAAAGACTATAATTCTTTATTCTAGAAATTAATTGGATACCAAAAGTTGGTAAGAGTGTAAAAAGCTAAATAATTTTGATTTCAATTCATCCTAAATGGCTCTTTTAAAATCAATGATAAATACACTTATTAGTTTGGAAATTTTACCTTTTTCACTATGACTTTACATGAGATATCTTATCTTCCTTGCAATGTGAGTCAAGTCATGTAAACCATTACCATTCACAATTGATAGCTGTTCACATAATTATATATTGCATTTTGGACACAAATGCTCTTGAATTACTTTTTTCAGCTTTATAGACCTTGATAAGGATGAAAACTTAATACAATGCTTCTATAATAACTTCTTACATGTATATTTGAGATTCATTGAATGTATGGTAATGTAGCAAATCATGCAAGATTTCTAAGTTCTCAACTAAAGCTAAGTCTCACGTCGTTTCGTATCTATTATCAGCTAATTGGCTTTTGACAATTACTAGATGAACTTGGATCTTTAGAGAATCATACCTCTTTTTGCATGATGAGAGAAACCATGTGCTCTGTTGACAAAACAAAAACATAAAGGTTGTAAGTTAATTATCTAAGTTCAAATATACCTCTTATTATGATGGCCAAAAAAACATATCAGGCGATCATGTGATTATCTTACTGATATACCTCTCATGCTGCATGTTCAAAAAATCTTCACCGAAGTCTTCCAATTTGTGGAGGATTTCATCCTCATCCTCTCCAGTTGACATCTTTGTTCCCAAATGTAGATTTCTGTGATAATTAAGGACCAAAACCCAATATATTACACGCTCTGGAGGTTACACCTGCAAGTTAAAACTCCCCAAGGATCCTTTTTTTGATGTGTGCGCCGAACTAAGGACGTGTCGCTTTAGCACAATCGGGCTACGCGTGGCTGCACTTAAGGCCCATTTGTCTATAGTGTCTGCATGAGGATTCCACCAACTCCCTCTCTCTCTCTCTCTTTTTCTCTCCCTCTCTCTCCGTGTTATAAATTCGCCAGCACCTCTCCGTCAAGCCTGCTCTCACCGGCCTCTCTCTTTCTCTCTTTCTCTCGCTCTCTATCGCTCTCGCTGTCCTACTCTCACTCTCTCCCTCTCTCCCTCTCTCCCTCTCTCTCTCTCCATTTCTCTCTCTCTCTCTCTCTTGGTATCTTCAGAATGGCGTCAAAGTTGGTATCTTCCCTTTCATGGCTGTCCGCCGTCGTCCTCCTGCTGGTCCCCGCAGCCTCCTCTGCTGCCGCCACAAGGGGGGGCACCAACCCCTTCTTCTTCGACCGTCGGAGCTTCGCCTACACTGCGAAGACCTCCCACGGCAGCTTCAAGGCCCTCCACGCCTTCTCCGGCCGCACCCAGCTCCGCGGCGGCGCCACAGATAGCTACCGCCTCGGCCTCCTCCGCGCTGCCCCCCGCACCTTCGTCCTCCCCAGCCACTGGGACGCCGACGAGCTCCTCTACGTCCTCAAAGGTATAGATCTCTCTCTCTCTAGCTACAACTCAACTCCCTCTCTGCAAGTAAGTGTTTGACGCCGTTGCTGATGTGGGCTTGTCGACGTTGAGGGAGAGGGGTGATCACGCAGGTGCCACGTGGCAGGGAGGGCGGTGACACGCAGGAGATCAGCGAGGGGGACGTACTGTGGGTGCCAGCAGGGACGATGGTCTACCTTCTCAACGCCGACGCGAAGGAGAGCCTGCGGGTCGCGGTCCTACTGAGGACCATCTCCAGTCCCACCGGCGACTACATGGTGAAGAAGCTCGGACGCCGTCTAAAAAAGCCCCCATTTTTCATATAAAAAATCCTTCTTCTCGCACGGAAAACTGCACGTAAAAGAAAAAACGGATTATTCTGTTAAGAAATTGCAGGAAAAAAATTGGAAACATATTTTTAAATGCCGAAATGTGGATCATTCTGTGCTAAATAATTACTATATTTATCATATGCTATGAAATTTATTTTTTAAATATGATAAACGTTGATTTTAGTACTTGGGAAAAAATGAAAACATTTTTATGCCAAAAATGTGGATTTTTTTTTGTACTGAAGAAATACCTTTCATGATATGTTTTTAGAAATCATATTTTTGAAAGATAATAACCTTCTGAGGTGTTTGGGGAAAAAGGCCTCGAAATGAGTGTTCTTTTGGTCTTTATTGTTGTAGGAATTCTTTGCAGCCGGTGGCCTGGAGCCCGAATCCTTCCTCAGAGCATTCAGCTCCGAGCTCCAAGAGGCTGCTTTCAATGTTGGTTTCTCTCTCTCTCTCTCTCTCTCTGAACCTTCCCTACTCTCTTTCTTAGAGCATCCGGATCGTCACTGCTCGATATTCCACATTCTACGCTCTTGCTCTCTCTTTGAGCAGCCCGGTTCGTCACATTCTACTCTCAGCATCTTCTCTCCCCTTCCCTCCCCCTCTCCCTCTCCCTCTTTCTCTCTCTCTCCCTCTCTTTCACTCTCTCTCTCTCTACCTCACTATACGATATGCTATTCTACTCGCAGAGTCGGAGGGAGGAGCTGGAGAGGATCCTGGGGCGGCAGCAAAAGGGTGCCTTCGTCAAGGTCACGGAGGAGCAAATACGGGCCCTGCTGAGCCATCGGGAGGGAGGCCAGAGCGGCACCCGCAGTCCATTTCCGCTGCTCTCACAGAAGCCCTCCTACTCGAACGACCGGGGACAGATGCACGAGGTCACCGCCCGCGAGTACCCCCAGCTCCGGCGACTCGACGTCGTCGTCTCCTTGGCCAACATCACCGCCGTAAATCCTTCACTGAAAGAACAGATTCATCGGGCCATACTAATTCGGTTACCTTTTAATCATCAGCGCGGTCTTGCAGGGATCCATGGAAGCTCCGTCGTACAACTCGAAGGCGACCAGGATCGCCCTGGTGATCTCCGGCGAGGGCTACGTCGAGATGGTACGGCGGCGCCGCCGCGAGGAAGCAGCGGAAGAGGGCGGCGCGAGGTATGAGAAAGTGAGGTCGGAGGTGTCCGCCGGGGAGGTGTTCGTGATCCCCGCCGGCCAACCGGTCGTCACCGTCGCCGCCTCCGGCGGGGAGGGCCTCCAGGTGCTCTGCTTTGGCCTCCAAGCTGAGGAAAACCGCAGGATCTTCCTCGCAGGTAGGACGACGTCCCCCCGCCATGATCCTCCTGCATAGAGCTCTGCTTCCTCTGAGCTGTGCTGTGGCACTGAGAATTTTGCAGGAGAGAACGGAGTGTTGAAGGAGCTAGAGAGGGAAACGAAGGAGCTGTCCTTTGGCGCGCCGAGGAAGGAGGTGGATGAGGTCCTGAACGCCCAGAAGAGGTCCATCTTCGTGGAAGGTCCCCAGCAGGCGTCGAGGAGAGGGGCCGAGTCGAGGCTCTCGTAGGAGCAAGCCAGGGAGCAGCTGATCGGCGTCTGAGTTTCAGAGAAAGTACGAAGATATATATGTAGAGTGATGTTATGCAAGTATAAATAAGACTATCTCGGCCTTACCAAGCAAGGAGCCCGTCTCGACGGATTTGGAGAGGTATCCATCACGTCTGCTCTCAGACTTCAAAGAGAGCGAGAAACGGGTTTGTGGCGGGAACATAAATATCTGAATCCATGTTTCAGAGATCACCAAGATTCGGTAGTTTTGTTGCCATTTATTTCACCATAAATTTTCCCTCGCTCAAGAATGACAGACTTATCAGGATTAGATGACTTCCAAGCTAGAATTATCATTTATCACACGATTAGCCTCAAATTGTTTCAAGATTTGATGTTCAAAAGTCAACTATAAGATTTTCTTGCAACTATCGATATGTTCTATCGCTCGGTGGATTAGAAAATCAAAGGCTCATCGAAGGGGGTAACTACACTAATCACTCAGAGCAGATTGCTGTATGCATGCGATCCTTATTGTTCGAGATCGATAGATCGAGAAGAGTTGGTGGAAATTAAAAAGGGAAGAGTCGGAGTTGGAGGCCACGGGTTTTACCCAGTCGCCGGAAACGCCCGGGGGTCCGATGACGTGCCTCCATGGATCTTCCTCCGGGGACCATGCGAACTAGCTCTTCAAGGATATCGAGGAGACGGACGGCGGTCTGTAGCAGTTGGCGGTGAAAACGGAGTAGAACACTGCGTTCGTCGACCCGCGTAGCTCCGGAGATGATCCCCGGCGGGGAGCCGAACTCAGAACATGGCGAACTGGAGGCTGGAGAGCCTGACACAAAACAGTGTGGGAAAAAAGGTTACCTTGGGGATGGCATTCTTCGTCCTTCATCGTTCACTACCAAGAAGGCATGCCTCATTCTTCATCATTCTCTTCTCAGAAAGCATTCATCAATCTGCCATCTCAAATAAGGGAGTAGATCTCTCTATCTACTCGGGCAAACTAGAATGTACTACTGAAACTCGTTTCTTCCACCGATGAAACTTCTTGCAACGAGCCAGACGTCTACGTAGGATCAGTTCATTATTACGGAGATTTTCAAAATGAATACCAGACAAAACATCAGGATTTCGTACGTCACGCAAGAGTGCATCAAATGAATTGAACCTACTATTGTCGTGAAATGAATTGAACCTACTATTATCGTGAAGCCATCAAATGAAGCAATTCCTAGCCTTCGTTTTCCATCAAATGAAATTAAGTGAACCTACTATTATCTTGAAGCCATTTCATGAAACAATTTAAATTCAGTCATAGAACCGTGACTCGCGGCTAGATCGTACCTGCAGGGCTGTCGCGGAAGGGCGGGACAGGGCTTGGGCCTAGACAGGGGAAACGGCACTCGTTAGAGAGAGCAGGCGTACAACAGAGCGGAAAAACAGAAGAATCCATAAGAAGATGGAGGACATGGCTTGAGACGTCGCCACACGGACCATCGCAGAGAGCTCTGAACCCAGCGGCGGCATCAGGGGAGGGTGATCCAACAGCGTCCGGCGAGTTACAGTAAACGAAAAGAGAAGGAACGCGCGCGGCGACGATGGGAAATCCGAGCAGGCCAGGGCGGCGGAGCAGGTGGCAGAGGCAGGCGATGCCGCCACCTTCTCCCTCTCCGGCATCATCTCTCCTTCCGCCTGCCTCAGTATAGGCGGCAACGGAGGCACAGCAGGCTGAGGATGGTGCCGAGGACTCGTTGATCGGCGGCGCCGCTAGGAAGGCCAAGCAAGGGGCCACTCCCACAAGCACCTCCACGCAGTTTGCCGGCGTCCGCTCAGCAGTTGCAGATCCGGCGGCCAAGAGAGGAAGGAGGATTGCGGAGAGCAGCGCCGCGGAGATCTCTCCTCCGCCACCGTCACTGCCTCGCCTTCCGTCCGCATTCTGGTGGACAGCCATTCCCGCCTCCTCCCGCTGGTCAGTCCATCTCCCCACCCGATCACGCGTCATATTTATATTATTCCCACGTTCAGACTCACGGCCTTTCAAAAACTCAGTAAAAAGTTCAAAATATTTATTTACACAAAGAAACACGTCAAAAAATACATTTGGAAAAATTAATTTTGGATTAGAGTCCATCGTGGCACACAAGCCACGTGTCAACGTGACGAGGCTTCACTCTTACCCGCACTGGTTAATAGAAAGCAGAGCCCCTCACTGAGATGAAGGCACAGCTGTGAGCCCGTGGTACGAACCGCCACGCACACGAAGAAAAACGTCACGTATGGGAGCGCGACCGCATGAAGGCTTCCAGCCGGTCCCACACCTCCAGCGCCGCCGCCCGGTCCTGGTGCCGCTTATTCTTGCTTATCTAACAGAAATACGCCATTTAAGGTAAGATTAAAGGGAAATAGCAGCTGAAGATGGCGGAAGGCAAGGATCAAGGAGGGGTTGACTAACGGAGATAATCTTCACGTTCCACTGTTTGACCACCTTCGCAGACTCCACGCTGTCATCTTCAAAGCGCACATAAAACCCTACGACTGCAAATGCAAAAACCTTCAGTGAGATCATGCCATTGATGGGCCATCGAGAGTCAACTCTCCGAGAAGCTGCCTCCTCTGAGGATCACAGAGGCTCTGAACAACTGGTCAATCAGCGAGTTATGATGATCACAGGAGACCCTCTAAACTGGCATGGTAAGTTCACGTCATTAATGGGCCATCAAGAGTCAACCCTCCGAGGAGCTGCCTCCTCTGAGGATCACAGAGGCTCTGAACAACTGGTCAATCAGCGAGTTATTATGATCACGGGAGACCCCCTAAACTGGTATGGCAAGATCATGCCATTAATGGGCCATCGAGAGTCAACCCTCTAAGGAGCTGTCTCCTCAAGGAACTTCTCTTAGAAACTGTCAATGAGTGAACTATGATGATCACTGGAGACCTTATAATGATGTAGAGGAGCATGCCAGTCATTGGCCATCGAAAGTCAACCATTCAATGAGCTGCCCCCTCCGATGAACTGGGTTCTGAATGACTGGTCTTTGAGCGAGCTATGACGATCACAGGAGTCTCCCCTAATGGTATAGCAAGATCATGCCATTGATGGGTCATCGAGAGTCAACTAATCAAGGAGCTGCCTCCTCTGAGGAACTCGGCTAAGAACAACTGGTCAATGAGCGAGCTCTGATGACCACAGGAGACCCTCTAATGGTTCTCGGTGGCACCGCTGCCACCCCGGATCACACTAAGATGAAGAACAGATGCGGAATGAATGCAGCCGAGCACAATTACTCGCAGATCTGTCCATGCTTTACTAAATTTTGGGAAGAGGGAGGGTAAGATTTGAGGTTCTAGAATGAGCAATGAGCAGATCATGGGCATAAAACTAGTTCCTCCGGTAAGTGGATCTTCAATGGAGGGATACAATCACGCCTCGTGATGAGAGATAGATGGGATAAGAACGATGATGTTCATTGTAATCAATGAAATGGAGGAAGCGATCTGAATACAATCACGCCTCGTGATGAGAGATGGAACGGATCATCGGATTGATGAAACCAGCATAAACGGGAATGAGAAGCATGGAGAGGAAGGAGATCGGGTCACACTCTTGTTGGAGATCTCAACTTAGAACGGATCATCGGATCGATGAAACCAGCATAAACGGGAATGAGAAAGTTGGAGAGGAAGGGGATCGGATCAAACACACTTTTGTTGAAGATCCCAACGTAGAACGGACCATCGGACGATGGAACCAACATAAACGGGAATGAGAAACTTGGAGAGGAAGGAGATCGGATCAAGCACACTTTTCTTGAAGATATTAACGTAGAACGGATCATCGGATTGATGAAACCAGCATAAACGGGAATGAGAAACTTGGAGAGGAAGGGGATGGGATCAAACTCACTCTTGTTGAAGATCTCGACGTGATCCTTGAACGGCCAGTCCTTGAACTGCCACTCCTTGCCGAGCACGAAGACGCAGACGACCCTGTCCCAGTCCTCCGCCTTGAGCGCCGACGGCTTGTCCCTCACCTCGTACGCCGCCACCACCCTGTCCCTGCTCAGCTTCTTCTGCACCGTCACGCACTCTGGCTTCGCCATGCCTCCTCTCACCTTCACGTCCGTCGGCACGAACACCCCGTCTTCCAGGAACTCCTTGACGTTGTAGATGGTGATCAGCGTCTGGAATGCGCTCGGAACTAGTATGATCGGGACTCCCTCTCCGATCTTGCTCCCCTTGAGGTGCATCTTAGGTCTGGAAGCTGTGTCGTGGTGGTGATGATCGGCATCCCCGCCGCCGGCGCCGATGAAGCCCATCACCGCCGCCCTGTGATGGTCATCGGCTCCGATCAGCCTCGTCTTCGCCACCAGGCCGTCTTTGCGCTGCTGCGACTCGATCCGCTGCCGCTCTTCCTCGCGCTTCGTCGACGCCAGCAGGATGCTGTAGAAGTCCCTGTTCCTACACTCCAACAGAGCTTCCCTGTCCTTGAGCGGCCTCTCCAGCGACCTAATCATGCTCACGTAGTCCATCACCGTCCCCGTCCCTTCCTCGCCTGAATCTGGAACCCTAGCCTCGTCCTTCCCATCCGTCTCCGTCTCTTGACCTGCGGCGATGGCTGGTTCATGGCGGGGAGCCGGGAAGGCGGCGGAGTCCTCTGGGCGGTACTCGTCGGTGGCGTCCTGCTGTACGCCTGCGGCGGATGTGCTGTGGCCGTCGGCGGCGGAGGTGGAGTGGAGGAACTCGATCGCATCGGATGAGGCGACGCGTCCGAGGAGGTAATCCAGGAGCGGCTTCCTGTCGGGGAGGGTGACAGTGGGGACGCGGTGGAGCCTCGCGGACTGGAGGTACTCCGTATGCTTGAGCTGGTGGTGCTTCAGGTAGTAGACCAGTGTCTCCAGCGTGTAGAGGTTGCCCTGCTTCGATCTGTAGGCCGTCTCCGCCGAGCAAGGGAAGGCGTAGTCCGCCCCAAACCGAAACTCATCTCCGACGCGGACGATCTTCTCCACCTCCCCGCGCACCGCGAAGTCCCGCAGCGCCAGCAGCGGGTCCATGAGCAAAACCCTAATGGAACCCTAATTATCCCTCGGGTAACCAGGAAGGACGAGGAAGATAGCTACAAAGAGGGAGAGGAAGGCAGGCTCTGCTCCATCCTCTAGGGCTCTGCAGAGGAAGAGGACGCCCCCCCAAGAATTCTGGAATCCCGCGGTGTACATAAGGATAATTTCACCATCAAATTATTAAATAATTGCACGTATTAATTTAACGAGGGTCCACTGATTGAGCGGTTATGATGGACTTTGCCAATCGGACGGTCGATAAGTTTTTCGTATGCTCCTTCCGTTAGATAAAGTTGCTGTTTTTATTGAGTGAGCTCATTAAGTTTTTTATTTTAAAAATATTCTGATTTTTCCATCTGTTGGGGCCGACGTTGCTTTCGCACGTGGGGGAAAACACGTGTGGGGGCCCAGTTTTGGAGCAGACGAGTCGCGGGGTCGTCCCTTCCCCGCTTCCACCCCCCAAACCCCTCGTGTCCGCCGCGTGCGGGCATCATCTTCTTTCCCAAGATAGTAGCAGCTTCTCTCTTTCTCTCTCTCTCTCTTCCTTCCTCTTATTCTCTCTCTACATCTGGAAAATTCCACGGCGGCAGCTCTTCGGGACCCCGGGATCTTCATCTCGCCAAGGCCTACTTCACCGTGGATCCTGTCTCCGAGGCGGCGCGCTCTCTTCCCTTCTTCTGATCCTTCTGTCTACCCTTAGAAGAGGAACCCGAGAAGGGTGGGGGGAGGGCGATTTAGGCGCGTCCTGCCGGCGCGTTGCTAGTGAGAGTTGACGGGACGTCTCTGCAAATGCTGGTGGAGGTGGGTTGTCGGTGCGCTGTTCTGGTTGTTTCTATGTGTGCACGGTCCTATTATCGAAATTCGGTAGAGATAGGAGAAACTTGGGGTGGCATATTTTTCTCTGCTAAGGTTTTAATGTCTTAATTTATGATCTTAATTTTTCGTGTTATACGTAAGTTCTTGTTATTTATATCGCTGGTGGCATTGGTTGGGGGAGGAAACCTATTAGTAGGTTACTGGTTGGATCTGTTGATCATGATGTAATGGTGATTCGTTTTGATATGTCCATTTCTTCCTTGTAAACAGCGATTGTGGCATCTGCGTTGAGCTTAAGCAGTTCTTCATCTAGGTCTGCTTCCTTTCTTGTAGTAGCCAAAAAAATCAATCTGACATGGCTGAATTTAACTTAAATTAGGAATTATTCAATCACTGTTTCTCACTACCATAGTCATGGGATTGATCAAGAAGGTTTTTCCCCCGTCAGCTATCCTCCGCTTAAGTTCTTCCCAGAACAGCGGATTCAAAGTCAAAACCTATTAACCATCGGAGAAATCCTTCTAGTAAATTGTTTCGAGAAATATCCCTTTTTTTCTTATCATTCCATGCCTTTTTCTGTTTATTTATAGGCTTACGCTTTTCTGAATGACCCGGATAGAAAATTCGGTACTTATTTTTTTTGTTTCTCAAGGTGCTTTCATAATATCCCTGTCATGGAATCCATGGTCATAGATTGGGTCTGTGTGCTACTAAATTATGGATATCTGTGTTGGATTTGGGTACTGAGTAGTATATCGTGGAAAAAAAATATATTCTGGTTCCCTCCATTTTCGTTTTGAAGATGGTAAAACGCTCAATGCATTGATATATTATTTTTGGCGTCATTCCACCAAGTTTTATGCCAATTCAAGAATTTTTGAAATGTGTCAGCTCTTTTGCTTACTAGAAACCCTAATTTACGGAATCTGACCAGTCTAAGTGGGTCTGACTCCATTTCGACAATTTAGTTAGGGAGTCCATCATTTTATTTCGGTGCCCATTATCTGCCAGTTCCCCTCTCCACCCTGGACTGCTAGCAGTTCTAGGCTGTGACTAATTTCTCGGGAATGGTAACAAAGATGTTTTCTCCAGTTCCTTTTATTTGTTGAACTTTCATGTTGCCCTTTCAATTCTTTGGATGGCCTAATCGAAGAAACGGATATTTTGATTGATTGTACCCTCTTAAAGGGGGAAAACTTTTTACTATGAGGATACAAAGCGGATGATATTGGATGTATTTGAAATTTTAAAAACTAGGAGTCACAGGACCTTCATCTTCGTGAAGAAAACCCTCAAGCAAAACTCCTACAAGGTTTGTCACAGTAGTTCCCAATGGCCCCGTCATCCTGAATACCGTAGTTAACTCAAAAGATAGATGATATTTCGTACGTGAACTACCATTAAACAAGTCATGTCTTGATGGAGCCGATGCAAGACAAAATAACTGACATTGTTTCATGATATAACTTGGAGGCAAAAGTCACTGCGAAGATTTGGGAAATATCTTTGCCGGTTATAGCTATCTAATATATGTGTGTGCGTGTGCATATTACAAGATCAAGGTTGAAATCTCAAATTCTGAATCCAGAGACCATGCGGTTTCCATCTATTACTTACTTTTGCATCGTTCACCTAGTTTCTGTTCTCCACCGCCCTTCCACCATCACCATTTGTCCGAGTTGCATGCAGTAGGAAATGGGAGGGATGGAATTGGATTAAATTGGATCAGGAGTCAAGGGAACCTTTTTTTATCAGATCTCTCAAAACCACTTTTATTTGTTTCTTTGCTATTTTGAAGTAAAGGAGGAATAATGACAGCATGCTGTCTGTTTCTGCCCTTACACTGGCTTTCAGCTTCTGTGCCAATTCTTTTTCTTCTTTTAATTGGGCCAGATCCCTCTCTGCTGCTGGCCATAGTAACCAACTTTCATGAACAGATGCATTCGAAATGGCATAGTCCCCCCTGTTTTTCATGCTGTCACCACTATCAAAATCAGCCTCATTTCCTCTTGCAAAAAAGTACCGAAACCGGTTAGGTCGAGTGGAAACAAAGCGCAATATTACTTATTAATAAAAAGTCACATTAGTACCTACTCGGAGATCAGTCCTATATAGTTATTTCATGGGATATAATCGGAACCAACGTTGACCTCTCATGCAGATAGTTCCATTTTATTTCAAATCAGCATGTTTTAGGGGTTACGGCCAGTTTGCCACTGTTTCTTGTGAGATAGAAAGAAAATCCATGTCTAATGAGAAGGGAGGCCCTCTGATGACATGGCAACATTCATTATGATGTTGATGATAAAGAGGAGAAAAGACTAGTGGGAAATGAATATAAGAATTCAAGGCTTCCCATGAAAGTATAACTCTTTAGGAGAGTCAGAACTGCATCATCCTTGGCCATGATTTGTCAAAACCAAGATATTTTTATTCAATTTTAGGAAGTTTTTATCTTTTGATTGTCGAGATCTGTCATGGTTCTAAAGGCGAACCGTAAAAGTGAAATTAGAAGTGGAAGCATTTAATCTATTAAGTCTCCTATTTCGTTTTCTAATGCTTTTTTTTCACATTATGATAGGATCTTTGCAATGAGCCTCTTTTTTACTAGATCTCTTCTTATATTGGGACCTCATTTTATCAGAAAACGGAAAGTTATCCCTTGTATGATTTCAACATCAAAAACCCGTTGTTCTTCATTGATGATGAATTGAGGGATATCCGACTTGATGCCAGTGGCTGTGATGGGTTTTTCTTGTTATCATACTATAGCTTCAACTAGCATTCATGAAAGTACGTACATCTTAAACCCTAAGCAGGCTCTGTAACTGTAAACTCGCCAGTTATATTCTTTTCTATCGGATGGATTAATATTTTGAATATTTCCTTGTTGTCTTGTAAAGTTCATTCATATTAATCTTTTAAAATATTTATTTATATTTTCCTTACCCCTCTTGTTTTATTCCTTGTTGTGTTGAATTACTGCATTGAAGACTAATGATTAGTATGTTAGCCAGGAAAAGATCATTACGTAAAATTTTTGGATCTTGTTTCCTCTCATTTAGCTATTTATGTGTTATAGTGTTCTATGGATCTTTGATGGAAGGCTGAAAAAGCCTGACCGTCCCAAAATAATGATAGTATTCTTTTTCCCAAATGGGGCGCAGAATAAACCATAAATTTGAATGATATACTGATAACAATATTGCATTATAGAGATTCCTAGTGTGCTTGTAAAGCATGTGCTCATTAACCTTTCCTTGAGACTTTCTCGGGCCTGTTCTTTGTTTTTGAACTCAGAAGTTAGCCACATGTTTTATAGCATTGGATTTCTCACGAAATGGACTTTTATCAAACAGTCTTACTGAGGTTGGCTTGGTTCCTGTGCCATAAAACACCGCATATATGGAATAGGCACACTCAAAGAAATGTTTTGGACAATATCTAATTAATGAGAAGGTCACAATCGCATTGGCTCATCCAGGGCATGTCTGCCGTTTGAAAAGTGTAGCATTCAGAACCATTGGAATGCCATTTATCAACTCGAAGGCCAGATCACTGTTCTTCTTTTCATTATTGTGACTTCGACCATGATTTCGGCACTGCTTGTCTACCAGTTAGTGAGTGCCAACAGCTAGATGCCTATTTGTGTATTATTCACTAGTGTTTTATCATGAACAGCTTATCCCTTGATTGTCGGCACCTGTCATCATGAACAACCAAAAGTGCTACTCTAGATTGGATTGACCTGCCATACGTAGCGACAGATGAAGCTTGTGGTGTGAGATTTAATCCTTGTGGTTGTGCACTCTCATTCTGATAAGTGGGCCATTAACACCCCCCCGTCCCTCGGTTATGCCATCCCGTTTGTATTGATTAGTACAATGGCTGGGGTCTCCTGACGTCTGACATAATTTCTGAGATTAATAAACGTTCCGTCACACAATGGAAAGGGGAGACAATCTATTTAGTGAGCATAAATCGATGGAAGAGATTGGGTTCGCCGCCTAAAGAGCAGTGAGGCGTAGGGGATGTAGGATATGGCTTGACTATCAAACATGTCACACCGCAAATTATGACGATTAAGGTCTAGAATTTTCATCGTCGGATGGAAGATGAATCTCCAATATTTTATTTCATTTGGTGACTTGAATTTTGCTCGAGGGGCCCGAGTCAGCTATTTAGAGAATTCAAGTTGCTAGTTCTTCCTTTTCAGAACCTTCTCCCCCCCACCTCCCTTCAATCCCCCACATTAGGTAAAGGGTTTGGAGCAATAAACAGGAAGGATCGGAATGTTAGCAGGGAGAATTGAATCATTTTTCTGTTCTCTCAGTGCTCTTGAATTCTAGGAAGCCGAATCGTGACTTTCAGGAATATTTTAAAGTTGTAAATTTATTTATGAGTTCCATTTGCTTTGGTATTTATATCATATGGAATCCCGCCTGCATTTTGTGAATATACTCTGCATTTGGTATTTATAAGTTAATTCTTCTGTACCAAATTTAATTAGATTGACTTTATAGTAATATATTTTTTAATGATGAAATTATTTCCAAATTTTAGTTTATTTCTTTAATTCTATGTTTTTTTCTTGCTCTTATCCGAGTTAAATTCAACTCCGATTTTTTAATTGTTTCTATTTTTATTTGACGACTTGACCATTGAAAGAAGCAAATACATCTTCCTAAATGTGAAAATAATGCTTGCAATTAAGATCAGCATTGTCCTGTCTAACATTACCCGAAAGGACTGCCCACAGTGGCGCATGATTAAAGTCGTCCCCTTTTCCCTAGAATTCCATCTAGAACCTCTCCTGTTGGGTAAAAACGGTCAAGAAAACAAGATTTTCAAGGGCCTTGGTAAGTAGATTCTCTCTGATTTCCCCGGCAGAGAAGAGAATCGATTGTTCATGCCCTCAGTCCCTCTGAAGAACTTGTTTTTTGTTCCATTGATCTCCATGATATAGTCTGAGATATCTGCCCATATGTCCCCCTTATCGCTTTGCAGGCCCTGAAGCCGTTCTCAGTTTCATCCTAGCCAATCATTCTGGATATCCTGGTGGCGAGCCCGAGCACCATGTCTGGTCTGATCGATGGGCTTCCCGACGCAGTCACCCTCCAGTGCCTGGCACGTGTGCCCTTCTGTTTCCACGCCCACCTGAAGCTCGTCTGCCGATCATGGAGATCCGCCCTGACGAGCCCCGAGCTCTTCAGAGCCCGCTGTGAGTCCGGCGCCACAGAGGAGTTCCTCTGCGCTCTGGCCTTCGAGCCCGAGAACGTGTGGCAGCTCTATGATCCTCTCAGAGATCAGTGGCTGACCCTCCCCACCATGCCGACAGAGATCAGACACCTTGCACGCTTCGGCATGGCCTCTGTGCGCGGCAAGCTCTTTGTCCTCGGCGGCGGTAGTGACGGCGTCGACCCCTCCACCGGCGACCACGACCGCATCTTTGCGACAAACGAGGTCTGGTCGTATGATCCGTTCATCTGCCAATGGAAGAAGCAGGCGCCGATGCTTGTGCCGCGGGCAATGTTCGCTTGCTGCGCATTGGACGGCAAGATTGTGGTCGCAGGCGGCTTCACCAATTGCCGAAAGTCCATCTCAAAGGCGGAGATTTATGATGTCGAGAAGGACCAATGGCAGCCGCTGCCAGATCTCTGCCACACACGGAATTCGGCATGCTCCGGGCTGGTTATCGGCGGCAAGATGCACGTCCTGCACAAGGGCATCTCGACGGTGCAGATCCTTGAGGACGGCGGCTCTCGGTGGGCTGTGGAGGACTATGGTTGGCTCCAGGGCCCCATGGCGGTGGTTGGTGGCGAGCCCTACGTACTGAGCCACTGCGTCGTCGCAAAGCAGCAGAATTCGGGAACGGGTGGCGGCGTGCTCGTGGTGGCACCGGCATCGGACTTCCAGAGCCGCATTGGGTACGGGATGATCGGCCTGGGAGACGATCTGTATGTGCTGGGCGGCGTGATCGGGCCCGGCAGGATGAACCAGACGATCAAGCCCCTCTCCGATGTTGATGTGCTCACCATCAGCGGCGACCGGCCGGCGTGGCGGCAGGCAGCGGCGATGACACAGTGCCGTGGGAGTATCCTCGGGTGCACGCTGCTGAGGGTGTAGTAACACAGCACCCTCTGCATCCATAGGAGAAGCTTCGGTGCCGCATCTCTTTTAGATACAGGCGGATTCTTCCTTTCTCTTCAATGTGCACTCTCTACCACTTTTACTAGGATCATGTTCTTCGTGTGGTAGTGGTTTTTTAGTTTCCTCCATGTTTGCCACAATCTCGCTTCATGCCACAACCCTGTGGCTAGAATCTACACCAGCAAGGTGCCATGGCTAGCATCCCCCTTCATCTCACCATGAAATCCGGTGGCTTTGAAGCTACAAGACCTGCGGCTCTCTCTCTCTTTCTCTCTCTCTCTCTCTCTCTCTCTCTCTCTCTCTCTCTCTCTCTCTCGCTATCCCGGGGACCGGAGTTGGCCTTCAAGAAGCCCAACCCTGGCACCCAGTTCCTGATGAGAGTAGGGCAGATGCACAGAGAAGGAGAAGCTCCATCTGGTTCAGATGGATGGCTTTTTAAATAGAGCTAGAAGCACTCCCTGTGATATGTTAACCAGATCACTGAATCAATTTTAGCTTCCATTTCAATGAACATCAATCAGGTGAGTACACTTACGACAAAGGAGTGAGAGGGGAGGAAGGATGAAGAGTCCCATATTCAAGCCTCCTCCTGGGAGCTCAGATAACACGACAGAGCCTCTCTCGCAGCCCACCCGCGCACATCCTCTTGCCGCCCGCTCTGCTCTTCGTAGCCACCATAATGGTCCTCCAAGGGAACACCCTCTTGCAGCTTGTCTCCGCCATCGACCATGATATTGTGGAGCAGACAGCAGACCAGAATTATGCTGGGCAGCTTGTGCTTATCCGGCCGCCACATCACCTTGTGGAGGATCCTCCATGCCCCCTTCAGCCGTGCAAAGGCCATCGGAGCCAGCTGCCTCACAGTCCGATGCCGCACATTGAAGGCCACTGCCGCCGCCGCCGCACCTCCTTCTTCGTATGGAGTCATCAGCCATGGCAGTAGAGGGTACGAAAGATCCCCTACAATGTACTCCCTCAGCTCCGCCTCTTCAGAGGTGATAATCTGCCGGCTGTTTAGCCGCCGCCCACTCTCGCAGAGCTTGAAGAAGCCCGACCACCGGAGGAGACGAGCGGGGGTCATGCTGCCGGGCCAGCCAATGGCAACATCGAGGAATCTCGTCTCGTGGTCGACAATTCCCTGCAAAAACATGCTGTAGTTGCTCTCCCAGTCACGCCAGTCGTCGGAGGACTCCACAGCAGGGAGAGTCATGGCGACCCGAGTGGTGCCAACAGCTCCACAGCATTGGGGGAGACCGGATTGGGCCTCTAGCTTTGACTTGACTTCGGTAAGCTCTGCCGGGTCAGGCCAGCATAGGTGGTGTCGGGCTCTCTCCTCCATTGACTCAATGAACCGCCAGGTCACCTGGGAGACCGTTGACTGCCCGACATTGAAGGCGGCGCCGACAGACACCTGGGACTCGCCAGAGGCCAGCCGGCGGAGGGCGATGGCCACCTGCTTCTCCACGCTGAGGAGGCGGCCCTCGATGTTGATGAGCCCTGAGGGGGGCCGTGAGATCAGATCCTGCCGCACCAAGGAGCAGATGTACTCAAAGGTCTTCTTTGAGACTCTGAAGAAGTACTTGAATCCTTCGTCCTCCTCAGTGGGGATTGGGGGCCCTGCCAGGTTCCAATGCGCAAGAGAATAAACGACCGAAGAAGTGAGCCAGGAAATCAGATCAAGATAAAGGGTGTGTGGAAAAAAAAAAGCATCATTTATAGAGTTTCAAGAACAAAGAACAAAATGGCAGTCACCCTATGAGGAAGTTCTCCACAAGAAAGTCAACAGCCAAAAGTCTGTGAGATGATCCTAACTTATTTGTTAGTCTGAGGCAATCCCGCAACGAGCGCAAATCACTGTGAAAACCTCACTATATTTAGGGGAAAAAGGGGAGAAAAATGGAAACACCTCAGAAACATCTGCTGCAGGTTTTTGGGTTATGAGGATCAAAGAAGGAATCAAGCACATGGAATAGCCAGCGAGCATTGTTCAACATTATAATCTGGGAGAGATGAATCGGCATAATAATTGAAGAACAGCAAGCTGAAAAATAATTAGAACTGCAAAAGGAATAGTGTTGCATGAATGGATTCTGTAAAATTCAGAAACCTGCCGAATTATTACGTCTACTCTTGGACAATGTGTGGATCATTTTGACCGCGACTACTAGGTTTCCATGCATTTTCTACGCATCTCCCATCTGTTCATCAGCTGGACACTCTTCATCTGCCTTCAATTATGAGGCATTTGATCTCTTAAGAACCATTCTCAGCCAAATTGCGAAGAGAAAGAGAACACTTACATCAGACAAAGAAATTTTTTTTCCAGAGATAAGCGCAAATATGTCTCATAAAAGGAAACTAATCCACAACCCAAACTGGGACGAGCGCAGTAGCTCTGAGATTTCGAAAGACAAAACCGAGGTTCTTCCATGATTATTCATCAAAGAATGAAGGGAGCCAGTTCCTCGTCGTCCAAGGAAGCTATATAGCAGTTAGACGCTCTTAGGCCCGATCATTACGTGCTCTTGCATATATTCATACCAAGTCATGGAAACGTAGCTATTCTGGCTCGAAGAACTGGAGCAAGAATTGGACATCCGAGGAAGGGTCCAAACATGAAGGGGACGGAATCAAAGGAAATATATCGAGGAACGGGGAATGAATCGGCGGGTCCAGTGGATATCTCATGATAAAAGAACGAACTACATAAAAATTCGGGGATCATGGCAAACCGGAGCCGGAGTTCTTCTGCCAGAAGCTGTTCCACCAGTCCACATCTCCCGGTCGGGGTTCCGCCGGCCTGCTGGGCTCCGAAGTAGATGAGGTCCCCTTCTTCCCGCATTTGACGGGATCCTTCCCTGTCCGCTTCCCCTTCTTCGATTTCTTTAGAGGGGCCATCCGAAATGCCCGAGCCCCCTTCCTGCTCAAGCCGTCCGAGGACGACGGCTCGTCTCCCTCAACCCGACTGCTGCTTTCGTCAGAGGGTGATTCCTCTCTTCGATGGTGTTCGACGATTTTCTCACTGCGTTCACTTCGCGTCAAGAGTGCTGACTTTATCATACTTATAACGCCACAAGAACGTATTTTTATTGTGACGAAATAATTCGATACTTAATACTAACTAATATGATAGGTAAATTTAAATAGGTAAATGACAAAATGAGAAGATTTTGATAGGAGCAAGTGATCTATATTGCGGTGTATAAAGTGGGCTGATACGATTGTTGGGTGATTTGATGGATGAAACTCTGGCACACCTTGACTGATTTACAATCTTGAGAGTGATCCAATTGTAGAAAATGAATGGCTAGGATTGATAACCATGCTAAGTAGCACATAAATGGCACTCCTTAAGTCCATCAGCAGAGTACCCATTTACTCTAATCATGGCCCAGAATCTCATTTTTCTCTAACTAATTTATTCTAAAAGTTTTGTCATCAAATATCACATATTTTCCCATCAATGCACAATGTTGACTTTATAGAGTTCAATTCAATAAAAATAAATCTAATATGAGAGTTCACAGATCGCATAGCAATTATATTATAAGAATTTTAAAGATTTGCATCTTATAGTAAAAAATAATTGTGCAAGTTATTGGAATTTGATTTGATAAATCTTTCTTCACCTAATGGCTTGGGAAAGAAGTTCACAGGTTGATTTGTAGTCTCGATAAGATATGTTTCTATATCATTTCTATCTACCTGATCTATGATAAAGTCATTACTCAAACCTATATTGATCATAAGATGGATCATAAGAATTTATGTTATAATCATCTAATTTAGGTATCATCCATAGAATCTGTTTTCAACAAAATAAAGTAAATTTTATAAGACTTCATTCTTTATGATGATTCAACTTTTCTATTACCATATAAGTACTTAATCTGCATAGTGAGCACTCTTTAAGTCAGCATAACAACATGCATCAATAATATAATTTGCTGATATAGATTGAAATTCCAATCAGCAGGTATGTTTAATGAAGACATTGCTGGATCAAACAATATGTATGCTGCGTAGAACATTATTAAAAAATTATAATGCTGTAGAATTTCAATGTGATAAGGATCATCAATTATATCATTTAACTGATATAATACAGTTTGCAGAAATAATGATGTATTTAATCATAACCATGTGATCTCCTCATAAATTAAATGTTTTTTTAAATTATAACACATGATATCTATACTTAAGCACACTATGTTAGCTTTTATCATCAACAGCAGGTTTGATTATCTTTAAGGTCATATGATCCTTTTGATATAGAGACTTTATTTTATTTATGAAAGATCACACATATCTTATTCTGGTCTTATTTTTGTGAATCTCTCTGTAGCCAAAGGTTTTGCGATGATTTTTGCTGTCTACCTTTGTGTTCTAGTAAACTTCAAATAATATCATCCTTTTCAACATGACTTCATAATAAATGATGCTTGACATTAACATGTTTAATGTAGGTATGGAGGAAAATTTTATTTGGAGGATAAAATTACTCAGCTCTTATTATGGAAAATGGAGATATAATTTGAACAAACACTATTGTCATTTAGTTACCTTTTGTTTTATAAAACTTGTGATCAACACGGATATCATATACCAATTCAACTTGAGCAATGGATAACACAATATATTCTTTTTTCCATGAAACCATCAAATTAAACATCTAGCAATGATGATTTATGCATCACTTGAACTATTTCTATCAATGTTATTTTTGACAATATCAAAACTAGTAAAGATCATTAAGTTAGAATCACAATTTCTTAGATACTAACTCTCAACTTTTGCAGTATCTGATATGTACTAGACATTTGAGTTTAACTATGATCAAATTTGATTCTTTTGGATTTCTCTAAGATCTAGAATATAGGCAAGAACAAAAGGGAAATTTAGCTGGGCTTGTGTATTCTAGTTCTTAGCTTTTAAAAAAATGTTCTCTTTTTTATGTCAATTGTGAAGCGTTGTAACATGATCATGCTCATTTCTTAGTTTTACAAATTCATGCTTTCAACATTCATTGTTTTCAATAAATATTCTTATCTGACATCTATGGACTTTTTATGCAGAAAGATTTTATCAAAAAAATCATAGATATCTTTCAATGAAAATTCATAATTGGGTTCACCATGCATACCTCATCATTCTAAGTAGTCAAAGATATAATTACTTCTTGATTGCCTAATTCAGACAGTGCTATCATCAGTGGTCAATGTTGCCACCATTTCTCTTTTCTTTTTATTCTTATTTTGTTGCAAGTAATCTGCTTGAAATGCATGTTTTTGATATTTTTATTCTGCATTTAAAAATTTGGTTTCATCTGTTGTTAGCTTGGACTTCAAAAAGGATAATTTCAGTAGTTTCTTATCATATTAATGCATCTCTTTCTCATCAAGTATCCCCTAATTTTTCAAGCTCGTTAGACAATCTCATATTTGAAACATTCATTGGATGAAGTACTTGAATCTTTTGCTGTAAAAGCTCTATCATTCTTTGACTGCTTTTCTAAATACCAAGAATACTTGCTTATAACTTGTTCCTAATGTGCTAGCCACATAACCTACTCAAGGATTTCCAACTTTAAAAAAAAGGTTTGGGTATGATATAACTTGTTGACTTTATGAAGACAACATGTAAAACTAACAAGGGGGTGAATTGGTTTTTTCGTGAAGACTACTAATTTATTGAACATTTTCTAAATTCTATCAAACCCTGCCTACATCTTTAGGTTCTACTAATATTTCGTGGCATATGTTGAATGCAAGGACTTCAACAAGCTTATCATTGATCGAATACTCATGTCAACAACACTTTGGGGGCCAAAATTGTATTAGCACACCATTAATCACTTGCAGAATTGCTCAAGGTCAGCCTCAGTAGAACACACTAAAAATTCTACTCAAATGAACAAATTACTCCTTTGCTTGGACTGTGACTAATGTCTTGCATGGAGGAGACTTTGATTGCATTAGCAACAACTAGATTCCTCTTCTTTAAGCAACTCAAAAGTGTTTGTTACTTCTGTGAGGTCTCCACAGATGTTGGATGAAGCGCAAGCTTTATATTCTCGATTTTTAGTTCCCTATCACAACTAGAGTTTGGGCCATTTTTTATCACGAGTGCTGAAAATTAACCTTCGTAAAATATCATTTAATATTGTAAAAAATTATGACAGCTTGAAATCTTTGAATTTTGATGGTTTTCTATTCCATTGTATTCTTGCTTCAAATATCTTCGCAAGAGATGAATGCCAATAATTTAGGAAGAAACATATTTAAAAGCTAATTAACCATGTTTATCTGTATATGAACCATTTTGCCCTTGAGTAGATCTTGCTTGATTTAAGTGTATTTTTTATTTGCATTGATTTGCAATTTCCACTTTACACTTTGATACATATTTTTATTATCAAAAATGTCTAGGCTCCTAGATCCACTAGGAAAAAATCCCCATTTTATAGATCAGGTTTTAGAGAATCTAATGGCCATTTGCAATGGTTCGAATCAGACTATTTTTTGTCACACTAAGACTTGAAATTTGATGTAAGAAACGCTTCTTAATCTTGAAAAATTAGTACCAACTAAAATTAATTAAATTTCCTTTCTATCTTTTTTCATAATCTTTGTCTCCAAAACATATTTTCAATGAGTATATGTTGTATATCTTTGATACAAAATGTATGTATAAAATATTACTTCATTATTTTGTTGTGAGATTTTGCTTACTCTTTCTAACACAAGACCATTTATTTTTTTAATGGAAAAACCTTGATTCAGCAAAAATTTACTGATAAAGTTAACCCAATAAAATATCTAAGTAATTAGAAATTTACCATGTTGTGGGAATATCTGAGCTGTGTATACTAGTGAACTTTGTACATCACATTAAATTTTCTTAAGTCCAAAAATAATTTTCAAATTAATTTAATCAAAGTCATCTAGTGATCAAAAGATATCATTTACAATAAAAAAAACATTATGAATGATACGTTAGAATCAACATTGTAGTTGGTGTATCATATACAATATCATTCTAAAATATGACAATTAAAACGTCTAATATATATTTAATTTTTGTAACATGTAGAACTTAAAATATTTCATCCAAAAGTGTAAGGCATTCAAAGATGATTTAGTTCATGCGAATTGAAATTTTAATTTCTGATTATAAAAGGCAAGAATAAAAAAATATTAACCTAGAGCTGGAAATTCTTCACCTATAGTCAATAACTTGAGGGTCATTTATACAAATTGAGCTTGCAAGCATACTTTTGTTATTGTGAAGGTAATTTCTCTCTTTCTCTTAATATTTTTGTTCCTTTCTCTTTTTCTTGCTAAGTCATTCTTCTTTTATCTATTTTTTTCTTTCAACTTTCTCCCATTTATAGAAATCTCTTAATTTCATATATTATTTATCAATCAATAAGATCACATTCCATGTTTTCCAAAAATAATTTACACAAAAGAGGATAACTTTGGTTATGTTACAACAATATGATCTTTGTTTGTGATTTCAAATTGTCTTGAGATTCTTCTACTTACATATTCTATAGAAAATATCAAAATACTAAGTTTAGAAGTATAGGTTTAAATATATTATCATTATTTTTAATATAGCCATGACTATTCCATGTACTACCATATTTAACTTCATAATTTCAATTTTCTCAAAGTATATTGGGATGTACTATGATATTATGCCTCACTTAACATATTACTTTTGAAACATAACTATGATGTACTCAAACATCAAGCTAAATATGTGAAGTTATTTATAAATTTTTGTTAGTATGATACTCTTATTTTGAAACATGATATTTCTATAATTAATATATTAAAATTTATTTATTTATTTATTGATCTTAGAGATAAAATTGACTTAGATAAACATTT